TTGGTTCATAATCGGCGGAGATATTGCGTATAAAAAAATCATCCCCCAATTTTCCACCCTTGGGGGTGAAATATTTTCTTCAAATTCGCATGAAACCACCTTTTTGATAATACCTATTCAATAAAAAAATAATCGTTCAAATTGGTTTAAAATCGGCGGAGTTATTGCGTATAAATAAATTCATCCCCTATTTTCCACCCTTGGGGTTGTTATTTTTATTAGTAAATTTAAATGGGACCAACCTTGAGGTATTACCTATACGCCGAAAAAAGAATTTTTCAAATCGGTTCATAATTGGCGGAGTAATCGCGTAACAAATATAGAAAAAAAAAAAAAAAAAACATACGGGTCGAATTGAGAACCTCCTCCTTTTTTTGAAGTCGGTTGAAAATAATAAATAATTATGTATAAAAAAGACTAAAGCTAAATAATAACTAAATAAATATAGTATAAATAAATATAGTATAAATATAAATACTTAACATATAATAATAACAATAAATAAAATACACACATAGAAATAAAAAAAAGTATCAGTACTCATGAAGAAAGGTAATGGTCCTTAATTAGTTTTTTAAAGAGAGCGATAGATTTAGCGTCTCGAATGTTAGGCGGCAGAGAATTCCACAGTCTCACAGCATAAACGGTGAAGGAATAGGAGAAGAAGTCGGTATTATGAGGCACAATTTTAAGATTGGACTTAAGATGAGAACGGGTAAGGACTTCAGGAGGACGGACTAAGGAGAAACGGTCACGGAGGTACGCAGGATAAGTTGGATTGAAGAGGGTATTATAGAGAAGACATAAAATGCGAGTGTTCCTGCGAAGACGGATAGGGAGCCACTTGAGCCTATTGCGAAATTCGGAGACATGATCATATTTCTTAAGACCGAATACAAAGCGGATACATTGATTTTGCAATCGCTCAAGTTTATTTAATAGCTCCTCAGTGGCATCTAGGTAGCAAGCATCTGCATAGTCCAACAGAGGCATGATCAGCGCTTGGACGAGGTAAATCTTTGTTTTCACAGGCAGCAGGGTCTGGAGGCGCCTCAGTGAATGGATGGAGTAATGTACCCTTCGACTGACTTCATTTACCTGAGCATTCCACGATAAATTCGAGTCAATGAGTACACCTAAGTTTTTAGCGCGATCGGTAAATGGTTTTAAAAATTTTATTTTTGTTATTCGTTTGAATGTATTTTAAACTTACTAACGCAGTTTAATATTTGTACTTGTCAGTTTAATATGTGTATTGTAATGTATTTGTCATTTGTAATTTCAAGGTCTCATTCCATTTCTTGATTGATTTTGACTTTACAGTCTATGACATTACTTTGATCATAAAAAAAACATTTTTGGTTGCATATATAAATAATTTTGTTTTTAATATTTAGGTGCATTTCATTATGGACATAAAACAAATACCATGATATAGAACATTGATATCAATGCAGATTAGTAGATTCATTGAGACGTCAGCTCAACAATATGATAAACCAAACAGCATTTAAGGGTCAACTGAGAAAATAGAAAACTAAATAGGGTAAGTATGACTGTTCGCGTCCATTTTACAGAACGCCCTTTAAAAATAAGAAAACTATCACCATATTAGTAGTAGTAGTAAGACATTTGTTTGACCCTTTCACGTTTTAAGTATCTTACCTTCCTGGCAATCTGTAAATGGACGTAATCTAGTGGGTGGACGCAAACAGACGAACTTACCCAACATATCGACACAGACATTGAGCTTTCTGTTCTCTCGATCCACTATAACTTAATTGCTTTTTACTAACAGTTTTGTAGTATGTAGTTGCGATGACGATGTTTTAAACAAAATGTTAACTTAATTTAAATGTAGATCTTCCACATAATTAGGTGTACATTCGGGAGAATCTCGAAGTTCCTCACAATAACATTTGGGCCAACATGGGTAGTATTCGTTTTTTTTAAAGTGGTCTTTTTTGCAAACACATCCCGGTACACAGGGCTCAGTACAGTTCGGTTTCAGACTCCCCATTGCAGCGCAGGAATAGTCTATACAAGGGTTGGCGCACTCCGTGTACTCCTCGTTTTCAGGGCATGCTGGTCCTAGAAATCAATAAACGAACGTCATACATTGGTAAGCACGGAGTTATACTGACGGATTTAAACAAGATTACAAATGTCAATAATACTTAATATTGTTACACACATTCTTTTATACCTATATTCTTTATTTCTTATATAATCTTTCTTTAGTATTAAACTCTAAACTACAACTAATATGTCCATTATTGACCATGGTTAGTTTGAACGAGTTTAGAATTTAATATTTTTATATAATAGAAGTTTAATATTACGAAATATATGAACGTTTAAAGAGAGCTTGAAAACTTTAATTTCACCATTAGAATTGTAATTAAACTACAGTTTTACCACATTCTTCTTCTGGAATACACTCCCCACCCTCAGTCTTCCTGTAGTAACCCTCTTTACATACACATTTTGGGATACAAGGTGTCACTACTGCTGCACAAAGTACATGTATTTTACGTGTTTCACAAGTCTGCTCTGGCGGACAACTATTTGTACATCGATCAAAGTCTTCGTTTGGTCCACAATCTGTAAAATAAATAATAAATGTGTATGAGATATACAAACTAAAGGCGTTTACAAAATTTTGGTTCGTAGATTTCTGCTTTAAAATTTTATTGCAAGGTTCCACTTCACACACGTTCATTCATACATACTTACATACATACATTGCAAGTTAAATGAAAGCCCGTGAAATGATAATAATAATATTTTGTCGTATTTTATGTTTCACATACGTAATCTTTATAGAATTTAAGTTTATTAGTAAACCACGACAATGCTTCGGCATGAATGGGCCGACTCGACCGGAGCGATACCACGACCTCAAAGAAAAAGAAAACCGCCAACGTGAAACAACGCTTGCATTGTGTTTCGTCGTGTGAGTGAGGTTACCGGAGGCCCAATTACTACCCCCACCCCCCTCCCCAGGCTCCCCAATCTCCGAATCACCGAGAATCCTCAAATTCCCAATTGCCAAAAGGCCGGTAATGCACTAGTAATGTCCCTAATGTTTCAGGTGTCCATGGGCGTCGCCAATTGCTTACCATCAGGTGATCCGTCTGCTCGTTTACCGGTATATCCCATAAAAAGAACACAGACAGACATTAATCAAGCTACTAATGAAAACAATATTACTTACCCATATGTAATGAACATGGATCATCATCGTATAGTCCAAGCTGCCCCGCAACTAGTCCCACGCAACAGACAGACAGCAGTACTGTACACCTCCACATGTTGCCGGCTCCTCGAGTATTGACGTGGCCAATTTGTAGCTGCTTATTATATAGGTAACTTGCTTAAAGAGTCTCAACGTGATTTTTACATATTTACGTCATCAGAATCGATAAGGAAAAGCTTGCTAGCCAACTTGACGTCGAATTGAAAAAATATAATGAGATGCCGCTTGAGTAACGATATACTCATAATATGTAAATAGTAACAAGTGATGATTAATTAAATAATAAACAGTCGAACAGCAAAGTCAAGCATTTATTTCAATTAAACCATAATTTGGCACTTTTGAAACGTCAACAAATACAAAATAAATAATAGTCTGTCAGTTAGTCCGTCAGTGAAGCTAGGTGAAGCTAGGTGCTCATTCCAAAATGTAGTTTCGAATGGAGAAGAACGAGCAAGAAACTACATTCGTTACTCTTTCTAAAAAAGTATGTTCTATAATATCTCTGATACATATTCCAATACTGTACGTATATGTGAGAATAATGCAAAGACACGCTTCATTTCACGTATGTTAACACAAATCATTGGGACTTTTATATTAGTACCTGTTTAATGATGCTCCATACATAGCAGAAATGGTGCAAACTAAGAGAATAGGAACTTATATAAGTACATGTCTTGTAATGATTCCACAAAAAATTACAACACCGCGAATTACTTAAATTTTTTTGCTAATTTGACTAGTGTGAACACAATTTTATTATTCTTTTATATAAAAACCGACTTCAACCTCCTCTTGCTTGAAGTGAGACAGTTAGTATACTAATTATTTCTCCTAAGTGTAATGAACACTTTTCTGAAAACCGCTTAGCTTGACTTGAGCTTAGGTTTTAATTTATTAATTAACCGACTTCAAAATAAGAGCGGTTGAAATCGGTTTTTTAACCGCAGTTTATAAAAGAATTATTCTGAAGTCGGTTAAAAAGTAAATAAATAAGAACTATTATTTTCTTCTCAGTCAACTCTAATCATTACAATCAAATTCATAACTTCGATCATGCTCGAAACTTTTTGAATAAAGCATTTCATTATTAAAACGTTACGAGCAAGCTCAATTTTTTTCCTATTTCTTTCCAGCATCCTCGTAGATGCTCGAAAATGTTCTAGGACGTTCGATCGTTTTCGAGTAACTCACAGTATTTCGAAAGTCGAGAAACAGTAGTTCGAAAGTTATAATCTCTATTCTAGTCATATAGTCATAGGATTTGTGTCCATTAGGGCCAAAACTATGAAAAGTTGTCGGTTTCCTATTATTTGAAATCCTGCAATGACTTAACTTAACTCAGCTTTGATATAAAATGTTTATTTAATACGGGAAGACATTATTAACACGAAATCTTTTCTTAATATTTATTTTATTACGATCACATAATTGACGTATATGAGCTGAAAATTAGATAATGAAAATAAAATAAATAGCATTTATACAAAAACAATAAGTTTCATTTCGACAGTCGAAGAAATGGCTCTTAAGCACTTCCTCCGTCTTTCTCTTGTCCATGAGATTGCATAATACTAATCACTACATTCAGGTGTATCTCTAAACTCCTTACAATAGCATTTATGATAACAAGGCCAGTATTCATTGGACCTGAAGAACCCTTCTTCACACACACATCCTGGAGTGCAGGGCTCAGCACAGCTGGGCACTGGTTTCCCTACTGCAGCACAGGTCTCGTTCAAACAAGGGCTCCTACATTCAGTATACACTTCGTTTTCTCCACAAGCTGGTCCTGTAAAACAATATATAGAGGTAAGTACATAAGTACATTGACTGCACGGTTGGTGCAGCAACCGGCTGCCGTGCAACGCCGTGTCGCGGGTTCGATTCCCACACGGAACAACACTTTGTGTGATCCACAAATAGTTGTTTCTGGTCTGGGTATTATTGTGTAAATGAACTTGTATGTTTGTAAACGCACCCACAACACAGGAGAAAATCCTAATGTGGGGCAACCAGGACATTATATCCACTGACAGCCATGCTACATGATAATTCTTGATCTATCACAACTCTTGCATTTGTTGAACAAATCCTTCGTTATTTGACTGCAAAACTTTCCTATAATGTTTAAGTCAGACGTCGCTTACCGGACTGCCTCGTTCGCCGAGTGGTCACAAGTGTGACTGCCGCGAAAGGGGCCTCGGGTTCGATTCCTCGATCGGACAAAGTATTACTGGGTTTTTTGAAAAAAAAACCAGTAGTAGCACGGAGCCTGGAACTGTGCCCGGTATATGGCAATAGGCTCTCCCCTATTACATGGAATTCATAACATAAATAGTGAAAAGTAGGTGTTACATTGTACAGTGGCATTGAGCACCGTAATGTGCACCTCTACCTACACCTTTGGGTATAAAAGGCGTGATGTTATGTTGATGTTGTTGTTGTCGCTTACCGCACTCATCTTCTGGAATACACTCGCCTCCCTCGGTCTTCCTGTAGTAGCCATCTTTACATACACATTTTGGATTACAAGGCATTAATTCTTCTGTGCAACTTATATTAATTTTTCGAGTTTTACAGGTCTTCTCTGGTGGACATTCATGTGTGCATTGTTCGAAATATTCATTTTTTCCACAATCTGAAGAAGTAATAAAATTTAATTTAAATTCTTATAAAATTTAAAATAACTGAATGAAAATACTCCATTTATACGTATTCGAAAATAAACCGTATTGTATACAGACAATAGTCTATTTCAGTAGAATGTATTTTTGATAGATCTTTAATAATGATATGCACACGAAAAGGGGGAATGTCTTCAAACATATGGAAAAATCACTAAGATAAACAAGAACACAAACCAACGAAACTCACCCAAATGAAATGTTGGGAATGGATCAGAATCGACGTCAAACTCCTGCCCCGCAGCTAGTCCCACACAAAAGACAAAGAGCAGTACTGCACACCTCCACATGTTGCCGGCTCCTCGAGTATTGACAAGCCCGGCTGGTTACTGCTTATATATAACCTGTTCTGTGTTTTTATTACGTACTTATGTTATGTTGTATTGTAACTTTCGTGAGACATACTAAATAAATTATTATGTTTTCGGCTTACTCACGTAGTAATTCGACGAGGAACTCGACTAGTTTCAAACGAAATGCTGCTCATGAATATGAGCCTCTAGCATGGCTTGAAACTAGTCGAGTTCCTCGTCGAATTACTACGTGAGAAAGCCGAAAACTACTTTATGGAGGATATTTTATTCATTCCTGCAAAGCGTTATGTTTTGAGTTATATCGTCAAGATGAGTCCAATAACTCTTTAACAAAGTCTGTGCTTCTAGATAATACAACCTGAAGTCTTAAAATCACTACTTAATAAGTTCGTCGGCAATAAAGTAGTTTCGGTCAATGAAAGTCTGAGGACTGCTATAAAATATATTGTTCCGCACACACAAGGTCATACAAACATACAATTAGATTAACATATAGTCATAATCAGCTGTAAGTCCTCCAAGAACTATAAATAGACTATAATCATTTACTATTCCTTTGCAAAAAATCAATAAGCTAGTTCGTACTTGAACAGCTATAAAACAATAACATCAGCAGTTCGGTATAAAAAACCTAAACATAGCAAAAAGTTTCTAATAAAAGTACCCAACTCTATGGTCAATAGTTGCTGAATAAACTGGTTAGAGGTAATCTCCCTGGAACCTCGTTGTTCAAATACGTGTAATGGTCATTGTACACCAAACAAGGACGGCTCCAGCAAGACTCCAACCCACCAATGTCATTGTCATTTAAATATGAACTTTAAATCGTATGTCGTATGACATAATATTTCATAGCGTCAATACAAAAAAGCCGTCAGCGCGCCGCCTTCAATCTGTTTGTATTATTTTCATTCCAAAGCAAAAAACGCCGAGCTGGAGCTATACTAGAGCAGTGCTCGCTTAATTTATAATAGGTATTACATTATTATCTAAGTTGAGAAATAAATAAAGATGCCTTAAAGAAAGATATTTTGGTATTAGGTATAATTGCTCTTGTTTAACCAAGTTTAAGTAATTAACTTCTAAAGAATGACCGTGTTTTAATAATCTCAAATGCACCTGCTAAAAGAAGTTCTAATTTCATACCACTTGAAAAGGTATAAAAACTTTAACAGTGGCAAAAAAGATTGAAATCGATAATACGATGATCAATAGTAGGTGCTAATTAGCCAGTAACAGGTAATCTCCCTGGCCATACAAAAAAAACAAAACACATAATATTATTATAAAAACCTTTTTATTTTTTCAACATTCAACAAATACCTATAGAAAAAAATTTGCCATACCTATTATTGGAGGCAAGCAGCTCACATGGTTGTTTCATGGTTGAATCTACTGTAGATCCTGGCTTACAGGAGCTGCAGCGGTTTAGGGAAGTAGTGGGGGGCGTGTCCCATTTAAATAAAAAATATGTACAAGAGCGATTACAGAACAAACATTTGCAACAATTATCTATCTTCTGCTCTACATTCAGGTAAATTTTCCATGCCGTGGCAATAACATTTAGGAACACAAGGCCAATATTCATAGAGTCTATAGCTCCTTCTGCACACACACATCCTGGTGTACAAGGCACAGGGTTGGTGCAGTTCGGTTTCAGGCTCCCCATTGCTTCGCAGCTGTCGTTCACACAAGGGTTTGTGCACTCCGTGTACACCTCGTATTCGCGACATGCTGGTCCTGATCAATAAAGAACACATTTTTTATAAAAATGTTACTTAACCATATTGCCCGGGTACAGGGTGGGTGGGTACCCTAAGTGGGAGCAGAAATATGCAGTTCAAGAGCATAAAACGGCCGATAAAAGACTAGTTGCTGCCGTGTTGTTTAAGCATTAAGTAGATATGTTTTTATAAGGCTCTTGATAACTTAAAGTTCAAGGTAAAGTATATTTTATTATGCTACCAAATTTTAATAAAAATTTAAAATGATGAATTACTTGTTATTCTAAATTATAAACTTCGTTTACGAAAACGGAGTTCAACTCCCTCCAGTTTTGAAGTCTGTCAATTAATATTACAATCCGAATTTATGTAAAACCTTCTCCTAAGTGTATCAAACACTTTCTGAAAACCTTATAAAATCAGTTCAGCCAAGAGCCGAGACAATCGTGCTCAAACATACAGGTCAAACACCGAACCTCGTTTTTTTGAAGTCGGTAAAAAAATCACTCACCACACTGTTCTTCTGGTATACATTCACCGCCTTCAGTCTTTCTGTAATGGCCCTCTTTACATTCACATTTTGGGTCACAAGGCATCACTATAGCTGGACAAAGTGTGAATATTTTACGAGTGTCGCAGGTTTGTTCAGGCCCGCAATTCTGTGAGCATGGGTTAAAGGTTTCGTTTTGTCCACAATCTGGCAAAAAAAAACATAGAATTACAAACCTTAAAAATTCAATTTATCATCAATAGCCAATAATATTCCAAATAGCCAATAATATTATTACGAGAACCGAAACATACCTACATAATTTATATTTTTTTATAGTTTGTCTAAATTAATCACATTCCTTTATAATAAATTGACGTGCAAAGTAAATTGAACTCACCCATATGGACTCTAAAAGGATTAAAGCCGTCGAGGAGTCCCTGACTCGCAGCTAGTCCCACGCAACAGACAGACAGCAGTACTGTGCACCTCCACATGTTGCCGGCTCCTCGAGTATTGACGTGCCCGGCTTGTCGCTGCTTATATAATAGGTAGCAGCTTTAGATGAGATTAACATCATTTACTTTATTACGTCACCATATAAAAAAAAACAATATTCTTTAAATGCAAAGAAAAATTAAGGAAAACAATTTTATTATTGGATGAACGGATTAAGACGCGGTTTTCAGAAAAGTTTATAATTATAAAACGACTTCAAAAGAAGAGGGGGTTGAAGTCGGTTTTTTTAAGTAGTTTCATTTTTTATGGGATAAACCGGTAAACGAGCTGGCGGATAACCTGATGGTAAGCAATCGGCGTCGCCCATGGACACCTGGAACACCAGAGGCATTACAAGTGCGTTACCGGCCTTTTAGGATTAGAAGTTTGAGTTTGTCTTATAAAAAAATTAAGACGTTCAACTAAATTACGCTCAATACGAATTTAATCTGGATTAACGTCATCAAATAATCCCCGAACCGCGGGTTGTCCCCACAATAGACAAACAGCAGTACTGCACACCTTCACACGTTGCCGGCTTGTACCGCTTCAGTTTTATCAAGCTGAAACCTGTTCTAGTGTAGATCAACGTGATTAACATTACGTCATTTAGGTTTGATGCAAAAACTCAAGTTGTTTTGATTTGATTTTTTGCAACTACCATGTATGTTTATAGTTAATAAATATTGTAAATATTTGGATTCAATCACCATAATACGTATGAAGTATCATTAAGATTTCGGAATGATAGCAAAATAGTTGGGTAAAAGTCAATTAATTGTGTGTCAAAACAATAAAACAGAAATGAAGTACGAATTCATTTAATGTTTCTAACTAATCTGGACAGTTCTATATTTTATATCTTAACATTATTAAAACAAAGACTGTGATAAAGATATCTAAGGAGTCATCCATAAATTATGTCACACGAATTTCATGATTTTTTGCCCCTGCCCCGTCCTTGTCACAACTAGTTACATTTGTGGGACCGCCCCTCCCTAGTGTGACGGCACATTTTGCAGAATTACGTATGTACAAAAATTATTGAATGAAAACAGCAGTTCCGAAGTCAGTTTTATTTCTATTTAAATGACTTTAAAAAATATTAATACCAAATCAAACAAAATAAAACATATATGTTTTATGTTGTATAATAGATTTTGAAATGTAACATCACAAAGTTTAGGATCCCTCCCTCCCCTTTGTCACACAATGTCACAGTTCGTCGACCCCTACCACTTAACATGTGACGTAATTTATGGACGGCCCCTAATACATTAGGGTTCAATTTACCTAACCTCTACACTCGGGTGCATCTCGCAACTCATGACAATAACATCTAGGAAAACAAGGCCAGTAGTTATATAATCTAAAGAAGCCTTCTTTGCAAGCACATCCAGGTTCACAGGGTTCAGTACAGTTCGGTTTCAGACTCCCCATTGCTGCGCAGCTATCATCCACACAAGGGTTTCTGCACTCCGTGTACTCCTCATTTGCGCCACAAGCTGGTCCTAGATAAACAAACAGTCGTAAAGCAATGAGTTACGTATACGCGTGAACTTTAATAACGTAAAGTTCAAGGTTACGCAATGTGTACAGTGTCTTGTTATGATTGCAGAATTAATAAGCTACTAGATAATACATAAACAGATATCGCTTACCACATTCTTCATCTGATATACACTCCCCACCCGCAGTCTTCCTGTAGTAACCCTCTTTACATACACACTTTGAGGAACAGGGTATTGAGATTGCTAGACAAGCGACACCTACTTTACGAGTGTCACAGGTCTTTTCTGGAGGGCATTCTGGTACACATTCATTGAAGATTTCATTTGGTCCACATTCTGGGAAAAAGGAAGCAGTATTATAGTAAATACATATAATATTTAGTCTGATATTGTTAGACATATGTACGTGTAGAGCAAAAACTTACCCATAGGAACTAAAGATGGAATAGGCCTACCGAGTAGTCCCTGACTCGCAACTAGTTCCACCCAACAGACAGACAGCAGTACTGCACACCTCCACATGTTGCCGGCTCCTCGAGTATTAAAGAGCTCAGCTTGTCGCTGCTTATATATATCTTTATCGAGCGGACGCTCTACGCTCTAGTGTAAATCAACGTGATCATTAACATAACGTCATTTTTGCAAAAAAGTATTGTTTGTTGTCAGTTAATTTTTTAAGTGCAGAATAAAATTGACTTTTGACAGTTTTAAGTATGAAATAACTGCACTGTTGGCGCGGTGGCTGGGCAACTGGCTGCCGCGCAACGTGTCGCGGGTTCGATTCCCGCACGGAACAACTCTTTGTGTGATCCACAGATTGTTGTTCCGGGTCTGGGTGTCATATGTATGTGATATTGTATGTTTGTAAACGCACCCACGACACAGGAGAAAACCCTAGTGTGGGGCAACGTTTTAAAAAAAAAAAGTGTGGGGCAAAGTTTTTTTAAAAAAAAAAACTCAAATATTTGAAGTTAATCCTGAGTTAAAAATTAACTGAAATCTGACTGGTTGTAAAAATGGGCCATAACTCCACTTCGGAATTTATTAAAGATGACATTAATCAAGTTAAGTATAAGATTTACAAACTCGATAGTCTCTCAACTATGAGTTATCAAAAAATTCAAGTCTGTTCCCTAATGAAACAGAACCTATGTGGCTGATGTATCCAAATATTACAATCTTTATAAACTAAGGACTACATGGTAATCCTTTACAATCTATTTTTCATCTTCAGCACCCACACCCTAACCTAACGCGTGTAACGAAACCATAGCGCGATTCAGCCTAACTAAGAAATTGTACAACGCCATCTATCGAACACGTTTACAGCTTGCGGAACTACGTACATGAACGGGGTGAATTGCTACTTTGACAATTGGCCTGGCTAATTTGTTACCACAAAAATATTATATAATAATAACAGGAGAGTAATAAATATTGAATAGACTTCTTAGGTCGAGTCCATGTAATAATAATGAATAGTAAAACGACCAAGCCTGACTAAGGTGGACTGATATATGGCAATAGGCTCACCCCCTATTACATAGGACTCGTAACATAAATAGTGAAAAGTAGGTGTTACATTGTACAGTGGCAATAAGTGCCGTAATGTGCACCTCTTCGTGGATAAAAGGCGTGATACTATGTATGTGTGAATAAATTATATACAACTTAAAATTAACTAAAACGAAAACAGTGAGTAGAAATAACAAGAAAACGTACTAAAAAACCTTTTTATTACACATTATTGTTTTTCTGTAGTTTATAATTATTTTCGCAGTTGTGATGACTTAATTCTACCTTACAATATAAGTTGAATCTGTTTAGCCAGGCTTTTAATGTTTTAACTTTTTTTATTCATGAGTTTTAAGTCAGCAGCGTAATGAAGAAAATCGATAGTGATCGTTATTTATTACCCAAAGTAGATATCCCTGTGAAACCATATAACATGAACTGATGCAATTAACAGGACTTTTTTTTAAAATTTAGTACTCTTTAGTGGAATATTTTAGGCACGTTTATATGGTTTAACCTTTGATAATATTACTGTTACCACATTCTGCTTCTGAGATACATTCACCGCCTGGAGTATTTCTGTAGTAACCTGCTTTACATACGCATTTTGGGATACAGGGCATTATAACATCTGGACAATACGCAACGATTAAACGATTTTCACAAGTCTTCTCTGCTGGACATTCAAATGTACACTTTTCGAAATATTCGTTCTTGCCACAAGCTGAAACCAAAAAAGGCGTTACATTAGGTATTGACAGAAAAAAATTAACACCAATTATTTACGTTCTTCATCTTCTGCCATGCCACTAATAATATTTTGTGCCTATCTAGACAATTGTTTTAAGATCGATATTGATCTAGCATACTTTGTCCCTCCCACATGGGACATTTGAAAACGAAAAGGTAAGTTGACATTTTTAATACACAAATGGATAAAATTGGAGAAAATTGTGTTTCAAAAACTAACCTGGATGATGCGAAGCCTTTAAATCTAAGTTGTCTGATAATCCCTGAGCCACAACCAGACCCAGGTAACAGACAGAGATTAGTACTGCACACTTCCACATCTTGCCGTTTCCTTGAATGTAGGCGGTCAGAGCTTGTGGCTGTTTATATACAACGTACCCAATGTGATTCATACCTTCTTACTCACATCACTACAAGTTATGTTTGAGAACGTCATAATTATTATTTGTTTAATATTGTTTAATTCGACAACAGCTATTTTAGGCTTAGTTGCACCACAGAAAGTAGTTATAGTATTAGTTAGTGTTAAATTTAACAGTAACTGTAAAGCTGACTTTAACGGTTACAGCAAAATGTGTTGCACCAGCGAATTCAGTACTTTGTCAAAATTAAAAAATATCTATTTTTTTAAATCATGATAAAACCCCCTTAAGTTTTGATGAATAAAGATTATTTAAAAAATGATGTATGGATTCATCCATCAATTATAATCACCTATTATTTAGAACTAGAACTGAAAAGACTTTACTGACGTCATCAATAGTTAAAGTATACCATTTATTTATATTTTCATTTTTTATATTTGACTGATCGCACCAGCAACAGTAAGTATCGGACGCTCTTTCCCGAATTTGTCAACAAATGTACGATTTGTTTTAAAAACTTACTCCGGCCATAATAAACATAATAAAAAAGAATTCTAAATTTCCAGCTGATCATGACGCTGTTTGGATGACGCGATGTCCAACTGACATAACAATGTGAGCTGAACAATATTAACAACATGATCAGAGTCGCAGGAAAGAGGAGAATGATAAACCAAAAGACTGTCAAAATGATGTATTTTAAACAAGGTCAGCTCAGATGTAGGTAGATATTATGATGAAGAAGAAAAAGAGCTAAAAGTACAAAAGGTTGGATTCAGGACATTATAATAAAAAAAACTGGTACCGTATATGAAATTATTTCCGAAACGGCATGGGAATCCTATAAACCTGATTTGTTCTATTGCGTCACACGCAATGATGCAATTTATCGTTACCGTGACAAAATACACGTAGAACGACAGTGCAATGAGCCTTCGGTTTTTCCGTCCCTTGTTTCTATACATCGTCGTACGTATTTATTACAATTTTTTTGCAATGTTGGTAATTTCATATTGAAATAATATTATTATTAATACGGTTCAAAATAAAAGCCGAATGCACTCCATTTTTTATATAACATCCGTAAAATAATTTAGCAACATAATTATTCCAATTGTCTACTATACTGCGCGGTAGATGGGCAAACGACTGCAACGTGTAGCGGATTCGATCTCGCACGGAACAGTTCTTCGTGTCATCCACTAATAGTAATGTAGTCTACTTGTGTGTTTGTAAACGCACCCACGGTACAGGAGAAAATCCTACATACATAACATCACGCCTTTTATCCCCGAAGGGGTAGGCAGAGGTGCCGTAGTCAAAGACAACGCTCAAATAAATGTTCACAACCTCATAGTTCTTTAAGACCGATGACAAATTGACAGTAGAAGGACCAGCGTCTAGTTCGATCAAGGGTTCATATATTTTTGATCATTGTTCTTTTAAAAGCAGGCTGGTCATTTATAACCTTTCATAAACTTCTAATGAGTTGTTTTTTGCCTACTGTCGATTGACGATCTCGTCGTAGTCATCATCAAGATACTAAAGTACATTCTTTTTTTTATGGCATAAGCCGGTAAACGAGCCGGTAAGCAATCGGCGTCACCCATGGAAACCTGGAACCCCAGAGGCGTTACAAGTGCGTTACCGGCCTTTTGGGGATTAGGAGTTTGAAGGTCGTTTGGGGATTCAGGGATTGGGGAGATTGGGGAAGGGGAGGGTAATTGGGCCTCCGGTAACCTCACACGACGAAATACAACGCAAGCGTTGCTTCACGTCGGTTTTCTGTGAGGCCGTGGTATTACTGCGGTCGAGCCAATCTTATATATTATATTGTTGATTGACGATCTCGTCACAGTCATCATATAAAGTGAGTAGGTACTTATTTTCTTTTTTAATTTAATTCTTCATACCAATAACATAAATGCGTATATTTGTTACTCAATCACGTGAAAACAGCTGAAGATATCGGGATGAAATTTGAACATTATCATCAGCTGAAGATATCGTGATAGATTACACGAAAACGCGGGTAAAGCTGCTGATAGAAGCTATTTAATAAATAAATGCCTATGTCTTATTTTACATAATGAAACCAGGTATGTGTTGAAAAGGCAGCCTAAATATTATCGGTATATGGCAAAATAATCTTAAGGAAACATTGTACCTTAATATAAAAATTATTGGATTTTATTATGGAACAGTCCGGTAAACGAGCAGACGGAACTTTTTTTACTGTACTGCGTTACTGTTAATACCTATAGATTATGTGCCCATGTTTGCAAATGAGAATATGAATACGGATCACCTGATCGTGACCGATCGGCGCGCCCATGGACACCAGAAATACCAGACGTGTTACTAGTGTGAATTTGATTATATTACCCTATTATTGGGGATTAAGAATTTGAGAGTTATTGGGGATTCGGGGAATAGGAAGATACAGACGGGTACTAAGAGTTTGCTGTCTACATACTAAACTCCTGTGACTATTCCATGATATTTTTTATTGTAACCGAAGACTATATATATATATCCAAAATATTGATTTAGAGCGATACTATTACGCATTTCATTTCATTTCATGAAGGCAATAAAAAGTCTGATTAAAATCTTTCACGTTTTAATACATACAATATTTTCATTTTTAAATTTGATATACATATAGACAAAATTTTCAGAAAACAAAGCTTAATTTCTACATTCTGGTGAATCCCTGAACCCAGGACAATAGCATTTAGGAACGCAGAAAAAGTTGTACAGCTTGTAGGATCCATCTCTGCAAACACATCCTGGTTCGCACGGTTCAGGACTCTCGCAACCTGGAATGGAGCTCCCCAAGGCATCACAACTCTCATCTATACAAGGGTCTTTGCATTCCTTGTACACCTCGCCTTCACGACAAGCTGGTCCTAAAAATTCACCACAAAAAGTTCAATATCAATAGAATATAAACCCTAAGTGTGTGACAGTAGGAATAAAATATGATTAGTCGTTTAATGCCATTAATAAAGATTGTTAATAGCAGTGGACCTAAGATAGATCCCTGTGGTACACCTGACTTTCGAAGCATGATTGACAACTAACATGGTGTTGTATTTTTATTAATTATATGTTATTTGCATGCAAAATTCGATATTAGAAAATTTTGTGAATGAACACGCCCACCAAATAATCGGATAGCACGATATTATATCAACTGATGCAATGTAAGTACTTAATTGTATGATACCACTAGCCTATAAGTGCTCATCATTTTTATTTAAAGGGATTATGCGGCAAAAATGCATGAAAAGATTGAGGAATTTGTATATAGTATGGCTTTTTAAGTGTGGGAGAACCATACTTCGGTACGAATGGGCCGGCTAGACCGAAATGATACCACGGCCTCACAAAAAACCGACGTGAAGCAACGCTTGCGTCGTGTTTCGTCGTATGAGTGAGGTTACCGGAGGCCTAATTACCCTTCCCTTCCCCAATCTCCCCAATTCCTAAATCCTCAAACTCCTAATCCCCAAAAGGCCGTTAACGCACTTGTAGCGCCTCTAATGTTCCAGGTGTCCATGGGCGACGCCGATTGCTAACCATCAGGTGATCGGTCTGCTCGTTTACCGATTAATGCCATAAAAAAAATATATAGCGTAACAGGTCCAGAATCCACTCACTATATTCTTGATCTAATTTAATTACAATAGGAAACGAGACCTTACGTAAAAGTGAGTAAGCACATAGGAAGGTTACATATAGCAACTACGTCAATACCTCTAAATGTTGACGCCAAAATGTGAGCTATGTATGTACACAAATGTATTCTTTTCACATTTGTGTATACACGTAACTTCTAAACGACTTTGCACCAAACTGCGCAGGCAATTATTAGTCGCCATGTTGTCTTTCGATATTAAATTTGTATTTCGTGTAATTATAAAAAAGTCTTTGGGAAAGTCAACTCGCGTCTGAAATGGTGTTGGTATTGATAGATTTTTAAGTAGAATAGAACACATACCACATTCTTCTTCGGATATACACTCGCCATCTGGACCATCCCTGTAGTAACCCGCTTTACATATACATTTCGGGATGCAAGGCATCACAACAGCTGGACAAGCTGGATTAATCAAACGAGTTTCACATGTCTTCTCTGGTGGGCATGCATAGATACATCCAAAATATTCGTTTTCGCCACAATCTGAAACAAAAAAACACTTATATTAGCAAAATTATAATAAAATGGTAGATAGACTTAAATTGTTTAATGATACATGACCAAATACTGGTGAAATATATATTATTTATATTTGATGGGCCGAGGTTTAGCCACTATCTCGCCTGGTGGTAAGCGATGATGCGAACTATGATGGAGCACTCAAGATAAGATACCCTTTGATATTAACACGTTCATATGTAAGTTTCTACCCTGTGCTATGGCCCAATATATAATCAAATATGGCATGTATTTACCAAGATAATAGTTTGGCTCATACTGCTTATGGCACTGATTATACATACCCAGTTTCTGGGATAATGTGCAGTGTATGACTCGATCCTTAGGTAACTGGTGAAAAGTAAGAGATGTAATTTTTGCACACATCCATACATTTTTATTCAGAAAAAGGGTGTTCTCGCTTCTTCAAAAACAATTAAAGTTGGAGTGATTGTTCCAAAAACTCACCTGGTGGATATGCAGATGGATTTACATTGTCAGATAGCTCCTGAGCCATTACCAGGCCCAGGTAACAGACAGACAGTAGCACTGCACACTTCAACATGTTGCCGGCTCTTCACAATACTGACCGTCAGCGCGTGTGTCTGTTTATATACAAACTTCTTGCCCACGTCACACGTCGTTTTATTTGATAAGAACACACAATAATTAATTTGATAATTCGCAAAATTTAGCTTACTTCGAAAGAGGGGATATTATCATGATCATCAACACCCTATAAATGCCCACTGCTGAGCGAAACCTCGTCTTCCACGGAGAAGGTTTGCTCATTAATCAACACGCTTACTCAATGCGAGTTGGCGATTTCAAACTTATAGATAATTAGAAATTATAAGCCCAGGTTTCCTCACGATGTTTTCTTTCACCATTTGTCTGTGGTGTCTTAATAATCTTAGAAAGTAACCCAGTAACCAACCTCGGAAAAGGTCACATTGGTACTTGCCGTTGGTAGTTTTGGAACCCGCACCCTCATGCATGAGAAGCGGCCGTCTTAAATCTCCGGTCCCCACAACATTGTGTAAATGATTATGTAAGTGCATAAATTTATAATTGTCTGTTGTTTACTTTAGATTTTAGTACTTAGACGTACTATAAATAACTAGGAACATTATCCCACCTTTAATTAATTAATATTATTAATTCCACTAAATTCAAACTGACGCTTGACACGACGCAGGTATGTATCCAACTTTACAGTGTAAGGAATAGAGTTCCACATGTTGAATTCAGGACATTATAATAAGAAAACTGTTACCGTATGATAAATGTTCTGAAATGGCATATATCATTATCGTGACAAAGTACACGAAAAACGACAGTGTAATGAGCCCTCGGTTTCTCCGTCTTTCGTTTTATTTTAATACCCAATGCGATTTTTTGGTAATTTCACATTGAAATAAAGGAATACATTTTTGCTGATATTATTATTAATACGATTAAAAATAATCCGTACAATAATTAAATAATTAGTAACATAATTATTCCAATTGTCTATGCTAATCCATGCGCGGTGGGTGGGCAAACGACTGCAACGTGTAGCGAATTCGATCTCGCACGGAGCAACTTTCAGTGTGGTCCACGTGGTGGCCAGATTTGTGGAAAGAAAATTTTTGGATTTTGCACCACGACAATGCGCTTTCGCACAAGGCTATCATTGTGAACGAATTTTTGACCAAACACTCAACAAATATCATCCAGCAACCTATGGTGGTGTTCACCAGACATGGCTCCTGCTGACTTTTTTCTTTTTCCTAAACTCAAATGACCACTTCGTGGCACCCGTTTTCAATCGATAGAAGACATGAAGGAGAATTCGCGGCGAGAACGGAACTCAATTGCGGAAGCAGCGTTTAAAAAATGTTTTGATGAATGGATTATTTCGATTCGTTGGTGCAAGTGTATAGTTTCTAAAGGAGCATACTTTGTAGGTGATAAAATAAATTTGGATGAATAACAGACATTTTGTGTATTATTGATCTTTTCCCGGTACTTTTTTGACAGAGCAGTAAAATGAGTAGGTAATCATTTTCTTTTTTGACTGCCTCGTTGGCCGAGTGGTCGCAAGTACGACTGCCGGGCAAGGGTTCGTTCTCGGGTTCGATTCCCAGGTCGGACAAAGAACTATTGGGTTTTAAAAAAAATCTCAGTAGTAGCACGGAGTCTGGAATTGTACTGTAAATATTCAATGTATAGTTTTAACTTCTCTACGATTTTATTATATGTATAAATAATATACGAAAGTTTGTGTGTATGTTTGTTACTCAATCACGTGAAAATAGTTGAAGATATCGGGAGGAAATTATGTTACTTAATGAGATGTGTAAATGTGTTACAAAATAGATCTTGAAGAGGCAGCTTAAATATTATCGGTATATGGCAGAATAATCTTAATGAAACATTGCACCTAAATATAAACTTGATTGGATTTTTTATGGAATAGTCCAGTAAACGAGCAGACAGATCATCTGATGGTAAGCGATCGGCGCCGCCCATGGACACCCGAAATACCAGATATGAGGCCCTTTGGGGATTAAGATTCGAGGATTGGGAAGATTAGGGAGAGGTTAATTTTATTACGGTTTCTAAGAGTGTGCTGTCTACATACTAAACTCCTCTAATAATTCCATGACATTTTTTAGTATAAACGGAGACGTTCACCAAAATATTGATTTAGAGCGATACGATTACCCATGAACATAATAAAAAGTCAGAATATAATCTTTCACGTTTTAATATAAACAATATTTTCATTTTTTAATTTGGTATACTAGACAAATTTTTTAGAAAAGCAGTAATAAGTTATCACGAGACAAAGCTTAATTTCTACATTCTGGTGAATCTCTGAACCCAGGACAATAGCATTTAGGAACGCATAAAAAGTTGTACATCTTGTAGAATCCATCTCTGCAAGCACATCCTGGTTGGCAGGGTTCAGGACTCTCACAGCCCGGAATAGAGCTCCCCAAGGCATCACAGCTCTCATCTATACAAGGGTCTCTGCATTCCTTGTACACCTCGCCTTCACGACAAGCTGGTCCTAAAAATTCACCACAACAAGTTCAGTATCAATAGAATATAAACCCTAAGTATGTGGTAGTAGGATATAGGACCTTTAATAAAGATGGTTAATAGCAGTGGACCCAAGATAGTTCCCTGTGGTACACCTGATTTTCGAAGCATTAGTGACAACTCCCATAATTTTGTATTTTTATTAATTATGTGTTATTTGCATGCAAAATTCAATGTTAGAAAATTTTATTTGTTTGTTTCTTATCTCCTTTAATGAATACGCCCACCAAATTATCGGATAGCACGATATTATATCAACTAATGCAATTTAAGTACTTAATTGTATTATACCACTAGCCTATAAGTGCTCATCATTTTTATTTAAAAGGATTATGCGGCAAAAATGCATGAAAAGATCGATGAATTAGTATGTAGCGTAACAGGTCCAGAATCCACTCACTATATTCTTGATCTATTTCAATTACAATAGTAAACGAGACATTACGTAAAAGTGAGCAAGCAAATAGGAAGGTTACAGATAGCAACTATGTCAATAAAATGGAGACGCCAAATAATTTTTTTTCACATTTTTGTATACACGTAACTTTTGAACGACTTTGCACCAAACTGCGCAGGCAATTGTTTTTTATCAAGTGGTCTTTCGATAATAAATTTTTATTTCGTATAGTTAATTATCAAAAAATCCTTGGGAAAGTCAACTCTTTTCTGAAATGGTGTTGGTATTTTTCGATTTTGAAGTAGAATAGAACACATACCACATTCTTCTTCGGATATACACTCGCCACCTGGACCATTCCTGTAGTAACCCGGTTTACATATACATTTCGGGATACAAGGCGTCACAACACCTGGACAAATTACATTAATCAAACGAGTTTCACAGGTCTTCTCTGGTGGGCATGCATAGGTACATCCAAAATATTCATTTTCGCCACAATCTGAAACAAGAAAACATTTATATTAGCAAAATTACAGCCAAATAGTTGAAAGACCTGAATTTTTTAAATAAATTTTTCATAGTAATGATAAATGACCAAACACTGGTAAAATATATATTTTTTATATTTGATGATCCTGATTGATTATACATACTCAGTTTCTGGGATAATGTGCAATGTATGACTCGTTCCTTCGATAACTGGTGCAAAGTAGGAGATATAATTTTTGGACACATCCATACATTTTTATTTCGAAAAGGGTGTTCTCACCTGGTGGATATACAGATGGATTTACATTGTCAGATAGCTCCTGAGCCATCACCAGGCCCAGGTAACAGACAGACAGTAGCACTGCACACTTCAACATGTTGCCGGCTCTTCACAATACTGACCGTCAGCGCATGTGTCTGTTTATATACAAACTTCTTGCCCACGTCACACGTCGTTTTATTTGATAAGAAAACACAATAATAATTAATTTGATAATTCGCAAAATTTAGCTTACTTCTAATATTATCATGATCATCAACACCCTATAAATGCCCACTGCTGAGCGAAGCCTCTTCTTCCATGGAGAAGGTTTGCGCATAAATCACCACGCTTGCCCAATGCGGGTTTGCGGTTTCAAACTTATAGATAATTAGAAATTATAAGCCCAGGTTTCCTCGCGATGTTTTCCTTCACCGTTTGTCTGTGGTGTCTAAATAATGTTAGAAAGTACATATAACTCGAAAATGGTCACATTGGTACTTGCCGTTGGTAGGTTTGGAACCTGTACCCTCATGCATGAGAAGCGGCCGTCTTAAACCTCCGGTCCCCACAACATTGTGTAAGTGACTATGTAAGTGCATAAATTTGTCATTCCCTGTTGTTTACTTTAGATTTTAGTACTTAGACGTACTATAAATAAAAAGGAACATTATCCCACCTTTAATTAATGAATACTATTAAAAAAGTAGCACGGAGTCTGGAAATGTGCCCGGTATATGGCAATAGGCTCACCCCCTATTACATGGGACTCATAACATAAATAGTGAAAAGTGGGTGTTACTTCTATGTGCACCTCTGCCTACCCCTTCGGGGATAAAAGGCGTGATGTTATGTTATGTTACTATTAATTCCACTAAATCCGAACTTACGCTTGACACGACCCAGGTATTGTTTCGCAGGTTGTGAAGTATTATTCCGATCGAGGAGTCTTGAACATGATGAGTAAACAATTGAAGAAACTGGAATATACCCTTTTTTGAAGACCTACTAAGCATTTGTTTTATGTTTGATTAGCTGGAAAAATAGGTTTTAATTAGTCAGGTTAATTCTTAGTAGTTACTTTAAATTAGCAATTGTGGCTGCTGATATGGAGAGGAAATGATAGTATCTTGACTTGGACCCAAAGGGAATTCTCGCTTAAACAATAATTTTAAATACACAACTATTTATTAAGGTATCAAACTTCTCGAAATACAGCCCGAAGAAATTTAAACTTGATTTTCTTTATTATATTTGATTAATTTCTGCAATCAGGTAGTGCCCGTGGTAGGCTACAGTAGCATTTGGGAACACATATGGTGTTGAAGAGCTTGTAGAATCCTTCTTTGCAAGCACATCCTGGAACGCAGGGCTCAGGGCTGGTGCAGTTCGGTTTCAAACTCCCCATTGCGTCACAGCTTTCATCAATACAAGGGTTTGTGCAGTCCTTGTACTCCTCGCCTTCACCACAAGCTGGACCTAGAAAAACATTCAATTTTGCATGGGGTTGGGCGGCATTTATTTCATCATTTGTTTTATTGAGTGGCCATAAAGTACCAAAGACGTGCATTGCGAAACACAATATAAATAAACATAAAATACATTGTTTAACGGTTAACGCCGGTTGTCTATATGTGACAGTCGTATCTCTCTGGTCTGATCAACTCATTTGTGTTGTGTCGATGCTCTACATGTGACAGTAGTATCTCTCTGGTCTGGTCAACTCATTTGTGTCGATACATGGCTTTCCCTCGTTAGTAGCATGTGTGTACCTTATATAATTCGATGAAAATGAAATTGCTGACTGCCTCGTTGGCCGAGCGGTCGGGCAAAGTATTACTTGGGTATTTAAAATTTCTCAGTAGTAGCACGGAGTCTGGAATTGTGCCCGGTATATGGCAATAGGCTCACCCCCTATTACATGGGACTCATAACATAAATAGTGAAAAGTGGGTGTTACATTGTACAGTGGCATAATGGGCACCTCTGCCTACCCCTTCGGCGGCGACTGCCCTGTCCTACAGTCGTATATCGCGGAATGCTGCTCATGAATATGAGCCTCTAACATGGCTTGAAACTAGTCGAGTTCCTCGTCAAACAGTTACGTGAGTAAGCCGAAAACATAATAATTAACCTTTTCATTGTAGAGGGATCCCATTGTTTCTGTAGAGAAGAGAATTTACTTTTATAGTAAATTTTAAGTAGATTCTTACCACATTCTTCTTCGGATATACAGTCACCGCCAATAGTTTTTCTATAGTAGCCCTCTTTGCAAATACATTTTGGGATACAAGGTGTTTCTATAACTAGACAAACTATACCAATTTTGCGAGATTTACAGGTCGCCTCTGGTGGACAATTATGTGTACATTGTTCAAAATATTCGTTTGGACCACATGCTGGAAAAAGAAATTTCTGAAATTATATCGCCTAATATCGAGCCGGTTTTAACATTGTTTTTTAGCCCACTATACCACAACAAACAACTTATTTTATTCCGTATAATGATTACTTAAAAAGATATCGTGTACAAAACTCACCCGTATGCTGATATGAATTTCGATGGAAGTAGTCAAGTAGTCCTTGAGCCATAACTAGGCTCAAATAACAGACCAAAATCAGTACTACACGCCTCCACATGTTGCCGGCTCAGTTCAGTATTTTCTCTCGATCTGGCAAATATGGGTAATTTGAGTAGATACCTAATTGATATGGAATTTTGATTGAAAACAAATCCCTAATATTAGGGTACTGTTACACATGCTCTAAAATACCACGTTAAAAAGCATACATACATACATAACTTCTCGCCTGTCTCCTATGAGGGTAGGCAGAGACTAACTAACGCCAATTACTACGATTCTTACATGCCTCTTTCGCTTTATTAATAGTCATCAATCTTTTCATGCATGCTCGTGGGTTAAGGGTACTTTTAATTTGGCCCTTCTTTAATATATCGCCAATCTGGTCACTATATGTCCGTCTAGGGCGCCCTCTACCGTTAAAAACATTCTATTGAGTATGCTCTGAAATGTTTAAACAAGTGTGGAAGAGCCATGCTTCGGCACGAATGGGCCGGCTTGACCGGAGTCATACCACGGCCTCACAGAAAACCGTCGTGAAACAACGCTTGCGTTGTGTTTCGTCGTGTGAGTGAGGGAACCGGAGGCCCAATTACCCCCCTCCCCAGTCTCCTGAATCCCCGAATCCTCTACAGTCCTCAAATTCCCAATTCCCAAAAGGCCGGTAACGCACTTGTAATACACACGTCTTGGTGCTCCAGGTATCCATGAGCGACGGAGATTGCTCACCATCAGGTGATCCGTCTGCTCGTTTACCGGCTTATGCCATAAAAAAAAACTTCCAACGCCTGTCGATCTGCAAGCATGCCCGGAATGAGCATGCTCATTCTGAGAATCACTCCGATACGTATACGCTATTAAGTGATAAGTTCTCAATTAAAGCATGTTTTCATGCTTGAAATGAGCATGCGTAACAGTACCTAGTTACCTTTATGTGTATGTGTGTGGGTCGACACAGTATCACTACAATTATTGAGATTAATAATCATATGAAGTTGAAGTTGGACATTCAGAAAAAAAAAATTCGCTCGCTGTGTAATAAACATTTTTGTATTCTCTTTATTTATTTATTAAATTGAACTTAAATTAAACATGCCTTGATGGCCGAGTGGTCGCAACTGCGATTACCGGGCAATGGGTCTCGGATTCGATTCCCGGGTCGAGCAAAGCATTACTGAGTTTAAAAAAAAATCTCAGTAGCAAAATGGTATATGGCAATAGGCTCACCCCCTGTTACATGGGGCTCATAACAAAAACAATGGGTGTTACTTCTGTGTGCACCTCGGCCTACCCCTTCGGGGATAAAAGGCGTGGTGTTATGTTTTATGTTATGTGTTAAATTAAACAAGAGTTAAATCATTAAGTATGTACTAATTTTAAACTTGTCATACAAATCGCTGCTTTATTTAGATACATATATAAACGAACAACAAGAGTAATTAAACTAATTTTGGCATTCAGGTGTATCTCTTAACTGGCGACAATAACATTTGGGTACACATATAAAGTTATACAGCTTGTAGAATCCTTCTTTGCAAGCACATCCTGGAACGCAGGGCTCAGGGGCGGTGCAGTTCGGTATCAGACTCCCCATTGCGTCACAGCTCTCATCGATACAAGGATTTGTGCAGTCCTTGTACTCCTCGCCTTCACCACAAGCTGGTCCTAGAAAACACATTTCTTTGTAACTAGAATGATAGTTCAGTATTCTAACTCATACATTCGAAGTCAGAACAATTAGCACGTTTTGTATCTTACATCATTCAATAAACATGCCTATTAATTTGTTGGATATAGCACATATGGTATAATATGAGAGGGTAGATGACTAATTTTCATTTTAATGTCCGTCTTGTAAATTATTTTAAAACATTATACATGTATTTTTAATTTTCTAACAAATACAAATACTTTTGACGATAATTACCTCTATATTGATTTAAAATATCGCGTGACCTCACTTCTAGGAACGTTTCATTCGTAGAAATGACGTTTTCACTTCTAGAATGAATGACAAAATTTTAAAAATACGTCTCTAGTATTTTTTCATTATCTAACTGACGGACTAATTACATTTTAAATTTTCATACCTCGTCATTATTCCCATTACGTCTACATAGTCTACGTGTGTCTATGTGTAAGTCTACATTATTTTAGCTCCATAATTATACACAAAACTGTGTATAATTAAAATATTGTGTACTAAAATAATGTGTGCTAAAACTAGAGTTTTCCAGCTATGAAACTAATTTCACTCCTTTTACATTTAGTGTTAGAAAATTATATAAATAAAAATTAGTGTTCTGACTGCACGAAATTGTAACCTACCTACTGGTCCTAATGTTCACTTTCATTATTTTTAATATTAAGTTCAAATAATTTAAAAATATTATCAAATTCACTTGATAAACCGGAAAATAGCACTTGATAAAAATCAAAACACTCACCACATTCTTCTTCTGATATACATTCGCCGCCTGGACTCTTCCTGTAGTAGCCCGCTTTACATATACATCTTGCGATACAGGGTGTAACTACTGCTGGACAATTTATATTAAATTTACGAGTTTCACATGTCTTCTCTGGTGGACAATCATGTGTACATTGTTCAAAGTATTCGTTTGGACCACAAGCTGAAAAAAATATACATAAATAGACAAAAATAAACATAGTGTGATCGACACTTTCCTAGAGTTACATTACCAAAAATCGAGCCATTAGTCGCAGCATTATTAAACAACGATGCATTGTTTATCTTCGTATAGTTTCGTATATTAATTACTAGCTACTTCCGCGCGGTTTCACACGCTCTGCTCAGCTTCTATTGGTCGTAGAGTTGTGTTTTATAGCCTGTAGCCATTCTCGATAAATGCGCTCTCCAACACAAAAAGAATTATTCAATCAGAGTCGTAGTTCCTGAGATTAGCGCGTTCAAACAAACAAACAAAAAAACAAACTCTTCCGCTTTATATAATAGTATAAGATATGTAAGATTAAAATCCTTAAGTGTTTAATATAAGATTCACAATTCGCTAGCAATATTTGCTAAATTGTCGAATAAAAAATAGACATCACAAATACTCACCTGCGTGATGTGAATATAGATCGTCACCGAATAGTCCCAGTCCCAGCTGCCCCGCAGCTAGCCCCACACAACAGATAGACAGCAGTACCACACACCTCCACATGTTGTCGGCTCCACGAGTATTGACGTATGGAGCTTGTATCTGTTCATATAACCTGTTCAGCTGCTCTATTACCGAGATTTGTTGACTCTGACGTCATCACAGTTGAAAACATCTAAAACGCACGCTTGTCAATGTTTAGTTTAGTGTAGATGTCGTTCTAGGTAAGTGATTATTGACGGTAACAGCGATCGACAGACGTGCGAATTATCTCTTTGTTAAAATCAGACAGATAAAATAAAAAATAAAATAAAAATAAAATAAAATAAAATTTATTCATAATTCAAAAATGCAAAATACAAAAATATGTTTCAAGTAAGTAAAATTGATCTCATAAAGTTATGTTGGTACAGTATTTTTTTAGTATCGTGTTTTTATGTGGAATATGGCGGCAAATGAGCACAAAGACGGAACTCCAGATCAGTGTTTTAAATTACTCAAATATAGATTTTAGGAAACTTAAATAATTAATAAGAGAAATTGCAAGTGAGGGAAGTGGAATCAATCGTTTTTTTGTTCTTCTCTTATAATATCTTCTGATTCACTTCGTTGTGGGAACCAAGACAGTAATTCATGTCCCTGGAACGCGCCGGACTACAGTGTTCCGGTGTTTTCATGGTTCTATTTACTGTATACCCTGGCTTACAGGAGTTGTAGTGGTTATGGGAGGTTGTGGCGGGCTTGTCCCAATAAAAAAAAAGGGAAAGTATAACAAGAAACAATTATCCAAAAAGTAATTTGACATGCGTGAGACGTGAGTCATTCCAAGTATAAAATTAATATTGAGTTTGATTATCAACAGTGATAGTAATAGTGATACTATTGGGTTTTTTATGTTATTGGGTTTTTTCAGCTGAACTTCTTATACATAATTATTTTTCCAAAACTGTTATTAAGGTCAGGGCCAAAGATTAATTAATCACATAAATCTCAAATCGTAAGTAGTGAATAGTAGGTGTTTTTTTTATTGGGGAAATCATTTGACATTTCACGCCTGAGGGAGAGTCAGACTCTTATTGACTAAAATCCACCCCGTTTCTACTCCTACTCTTCGATCCAGAGCCCCGGCAATCCGTTTAGTCTACCATGTCTCCGCATCAGGTAATAATTAGCCCTACTGAGTCCCATCTGTGGTGGTCTTTTTTTTAAGGAGGGGAAATCATCGAATGACTGTTCCCGCCTGGGTGAGGCGGGAGGGAGTGTCAGACTCTTACTGACTAAAAACAACCCCGTTCCTTCTACTGCCGGAGCCGGAGCCCCGGTAACCCGTTAGGTTCTCCGCGACATCTGTGGTGGTCCGGTGGCTCTTTGAGGGCATAAAAGTAAATGCTACGTTTATTATATGTTCTTGTGTTTATAGGAAATTATATTATCAGCAGTAATTTTATTGTTTACAGTGATTGTCTTGTCTATACTATTTATATCTACCTGATCAATATCTAATAATCACTCAATTCATTATATTTCTGTTACTAAGTATCAGACACTGATAGCAATGTTTACGTATTAGTAAGATTGTAATTAAAAAAGATATATTTTTTAAATATACAGATATCGTTAATCACAATCAATTGGCCCCCAAACTCATATGATGGAGTGCCATAGAATATATAGTCCTTTATGCAAATACGTGTAGTTTTGTAGGTTTAAGCAAATGTTATAAAGATGTATAGAATCAACAAGTTAAATTAATAGTGGAGGTGTCAATTACTGCTTAACGATGTAAGGTAATGTCCCGAGGCTGAGTTCAAGTACGTATCATCAATGTTTTGGTACACTCATACTAATGAAAAATAGAAATTAATGAAAAATGTTTACTTGAATAATTGACAAGCGATGTGGTATTTCGTGATTATGATTCCCGGTTTACTTCGAAATTAGTCGAGCACACCTGATATAAATATATAACATAACATAACATCACGCCTTTTATTCCCGAAAGGGTAGAGGTGCACACAGAAGTAACACCCACTTTTGACTATTTATGTTATGAGTCCCATGTAATAGGGAGTGAGCCTATTGCCATATACCGAGCACATTTCCATAAATATATAAATATGATAAAAATATGATAAAAATATTATAAAATAAACAACAAAACTTAATTTTCAATATAATTTTATTTTAACATTTTATGATAAAATATTGACATAGAAAACCTTACATACTAGTGTCTACACCCCGGCGTATCCCGCCACTCATGACAATAGCATTTAGGTAAACATGGCCAAAATCCATAGGGCCTAAAGAACCCCTCTTTGCAAGCACATCCTGGGACACAGGGTTCAGTACAGTTCGGTTTCAGACTCCCCATTGCAGCACAGCTCTCATCCACACAGGGGTTTTTGCACTCCGTGTACACCTCGCCTTCACGGCAAGCCGGTCCTAGAAATACGTTTTTGTGATTATACAATTTAGGTAAGTAGGTATATATTAACTTTTAGTCGCATAGTTTTCAGGTTAAACAATCTCTACAATACATTTGTTATTTTTTCTTTGAGTTAAATTATCTACTACTTGCGACCCGCCCCGGCTTCGCACGGGTGCGATATGCATTTCTTATACATATAAACTTTCCTTAAAAACCACTCTATCTATTAAAAAAAACGCATCAAAATCCGTTCCGTAGTTTTAAAGATCTAAGCATACATAGGGACAGACAGACGGCGGATAGCGACTTTGTTTTATACTATGTAGTGATGAAGTGTAAATTTTACTATAGTTTTTTTAATAATAGATCACACTAATATAATAAATGTAAAAGTTTCTTTATTTGGATGTTTCGAATTTGGAAGTTTGGATGTTTGTCCGTCAATCACGCTGAAACTACAGAACTGATTTTGGTATACAGGCAGTGGTATGGGCTGAATTAGGTGATAGGATACTTTTTATCCCGATTAAATGCTCCCATGGGATAAAACAGGAATCATATTCTACACGGATGGAGTCTTTTTTTAATGGGACAAACCCGCCACAGCCTCCCTAAACCGCTGCAACTCCTGTAAGCCAGGATCCATAGTAGACGCAAACGAAGTCGTGGGCAACAGTTAGTAAAGAATATAAATATATGTATTGGTAGGCATGACCAATACTCCATCTTGAACTTAATATAAAAAGCGGGGGACAACACGCGCTCGGTCATTCTGTCAGCTGTCGTTCGGAGCGGGAAAATCGGTCAAGTTCTGTGAGACTTATATTTTTCATATTAATTAGATAACAAAATTCTCATTGCTATTATTTTCATATTAAGTGATTGTTATTTTGTTCCTATTTAAATGAACATCGGTTGTGAAGTTCTTGATAAATTTGACTGCACGGTTGGTGCGGTGGCTGTGCAACAGGCTGCCGTGCAACATGTCGTGGGTTCGATTCCCGCACGGACTTCACTTTGTGTGATCCAGAAATTGTTGTTTCGGGTCTGGGTGTCATATGTATGTGATTTTTTATGTTTGTAAACGCACCCACGACACATTAGAAAATCATAATGTAGGGCATCGTTTTTAAAAAAATATATTTTAAATTGTATTCGCATAAACTACCTCCAATATGGTTTTTTTTAATGAAAATCGCTTGTTATCTCTTAAAGTATTTAATGATATACCACACTGTTCTTCTGGAATACACTCCCCACCCTCAGTCTTTCTGTAGTAACCCTCTTTACATACACATTTTGGTGTACAGCGTATCACAGGCGTGTCACAGGTCACAGGTCTGTTCTGGAGGGCAGCTGTAAGTGCATCGGTTGTAGTACTCGTTTTTACCACATTCTGAAATAAAATAGACAAGAGTATTAACAAATAACAACATAACATCATCACGCCTTTGTACCCCGAAGTGGTAGGCGCAGGTGCACATTACGGCACTTAATACCACTGTACAATGTAACACCCACTTTACAGTATTTATGTTATGAGTCCCATGTAATACATGGTGAGCTTATTGCCATATATCGGGCAAAATTCCAGACTCCGTATTACTACTGAGATTTTTTGAAAAAAAAAACCAGTTATACTTTGCCCGACCCGGGAATCGAACCCGGGACCCTTTGCCTAGCAGTCACACTTGCGACCACTCGGCCAACGAGACAGCAACGGTAGATATTATACTAAACAAAACATTATGTATTATACGGCTACCCCATCGGAGATTCAAAAGCGTGATTATGGTTATGTAGAAAAGACATTTTGAAAATCTTGAATGAAGATAACCTCACCTATGTCGTTTCTATGTTGAAATGGTTCGCGAAGACTTCTAAACCAAGAGGAATAAGTTCTCTGCCCCGCAGCTAGTCCCACGCAACAGACAGACAGCAGTACTGCACACCGCCACATGTTGCCGGCTCCTCGAGTATTGACTTGTATGTTTAAAAAACATATGCATCAATCCTTACTAATATTATAAATCTGAAAGTGAGTTTGTTTGTTTGTTTGTTTGTTTGTTGTTTGTTTGTTTGTTTGTTCCACCTTCACGCCGTAACTACTCAACCGATTGCTTTGAATTTTTGCAGACGTAAAGTTAGTAGTCTGGATTAAATAATAGGGTACTTTTTAACCCGGAAATAATTGATATTTCCGAGGGAAAACAAAAGTATTGGTATAGATGGCGCTGTATGTATTGGTATTTGGTATATGTCACATAGGCTACTTTTATCCTTTTGTGACGCGAGCGAAGCCGCGGGTAAAAGCTAGTAATAAATAATACAATATCAAATGATCATTAACAGATGTTCGGTATTTGGTGACGATAAGAAAATATTGGATTCAAATTACAGAGAATGTTATTAATTTAATTGTGAACTCCGGTTGACGCAATCGCTGGGTGACGTACCGCTAGTTCATTTCCCACTTCGCATTCAATAAAACTGAGAACTTCTTTTTGAAATTGGTTAAAAGTGACATTTAGACAGAGAATTATAGTTTAGAAAGTAGAAAGAAAGAAAGAAGAAGAAAGAAAAATCATTTATTCGACAGTAGGCACGCACACAGATACAAAAAATACAAAATTAAAAAAGAAAAGAACAAATAAATACGCTTATTTATACAGATATAGAAAAAAACACAAAGTACTTAACTAATTCTTACTTAATACAAAAATAATGAGTATTCGTTGTCTACGTATGTACGTAAGTTACGTCATGTAGACTACACTACGTAGCGATCGTAGCGTGTCCGTACTATGTACTACGCGCTCCGCCCAGGGACATTACCTTTTACCAGTTTGTAGAGCAGTAATTGACACCTTTAATATTAGTTTTTAAACTTGTTGTTTCTATTTACCTTCTAATTTTGTTATTGAATCAATTGTATAAATCTTATTATATAATTTATTAAATTAAGGGCTACATTATTTGGAGTTTTGTGAACTGATTTAACAGCGATTAATATGAACGCATTATTGATTAATTCGTAAGCCTTGTTGCTCGATCGACCGCTCGGTATTCGCAATTGCTTAATTATTTCTGTAGTCTTGTAAAGTCACTCATTATTCAGATATATAGGGCTCTTAATAATCGCCAAGAAGAGCAGAAAGTGTCCCTTTGCCAAACCCCTGAGAGAGAAAAACCGCATCTTTAAAGTTACTTTACATTTTATATAGTTCCACCTCTATTTATAAACTACAGAATATAAAAAACATAATTATTTTTTTATTGATATAAATAACAACTTCCAAGCTTCAGTGTGTCGATACACAGTGAGGTGTGAACATGTTTCTTATATTAATCATCTGCCTTTTAGAATCAGGTGTAGCTCAAGACGAGTTCTTATACAAACCCAGGCTTCGGAATATTGGTAAGTTTATGTGTGTTTATTTACGTAAACTAAGGCATAAATAAATTTATGGACGATTTTCTTGTGATAACTTTAATAACTTTTACCTTAAGGTACCCAATAATGATCTTAAATTCGCGAGTAATCGCCATACATACCTATTTTTAGGTTTTCAAGGCAATTGTTGAAGTCATGTACCAATTTATGAATACCTAGTTAAAGAAAGATAATAAATGTAGGAACTTTCTCTTTATCTAATGAACAAACGACAACGAAGGGGTAAGTTGCAATTACAAGCATATTAAATAAGCGTTAAAGAGCCGTCAGACCACTACAGATGGGGCCCAATAGGCCTGATAGCTCCGACTCGATGTGCAGGAATAAGAACAGGGTGGTTTTTAATCAGTAAGAGTCTGACACTCCCACCTCACCCGGGCGGGAGAAGTCATTCGATGGTTTTCCCCCCACAAAAAAAGCGTATAAAATAAATAAAAATAGGTATCGAAAACATCTATGTCCGATGATTGGAAATACCTAGGGAATTATCCATACATTAGATAATTAATATTAAGTATTATCAGTAGCACAAAACAAAACATCTATCTTACTAACGACTATCATAATCTTATAACTTACCACCTACTTTGACAGTATTTTGATGTTTATCACATAAAAACTGTGAATCAGAGCATTAGATAACAATTTAATCAATGAAACGTTAAGCTGTAGGAAATCATGATAAATATAGGTATTATGATAATATTCATTGACGAACGCATTTGATGAAATAGCATAACATATTGCAAATATTGTTTTCATGATACTCCCCCTAATATAGAGACAAGGTCACTATAAATAAGTGGCAGGAAATAGGATTTAAGTAGATAGATAGGGGGATGAATAGGAGGTTTTTTTTAATGGGCGAAAATCATCGAATGACTGCTCCCGCCTGGGCGAGGCGGAAGGGAGTGTCAGACTCTTACTGACTAAAAACCACCCCGTTCTTTCTCCTGCACGTCGAGCCGGAGCGCCGGTTACCTGTTAGGTTCTCCGCGATATAAATAGGAGTTAAGAATAACTTTGTGGGTTACGGAGCAGAGCTCCGGCTCAAAGATCCAGTAACAATTTTGGGTTGGTTTTTATTTAATAGGAGTCTGACACTCTCGCTCGCCTCACCCAAGGTGGAAGAAGTCATTAAAGACAGTTATCCCCCTTCAAAACGAAACCCATCGTTAAGTACCTACATTTTTGTCGAACAGAATCCGCGCCACATTGTGTACCACTCGGTCAGCTAATCAAGAAGTGCCATATACAAAGCTACTGTTTCTTTTCTTTCTGACTGGATTTAGGTGTTGCATTGTTCTCACATAATCGAACCAATAAAACTATGTAACTAGAGAATTGTATTGTAAACCTGATTGAAAAAGAGTAACCTATGGAGTTTCTTGCTCGTTCTTCTCCATAGGAATCTACGCCTTGGAATGAGCAACTAGTTTCACTTATTTTGTTGTTTGACGTTCAAAAGTGCCATCCTGGTCTAATTGAAATAAATGATTTTGACTTTGACTTTGTTATTATGCCATGTTTTTTATTTAAAAAAGGTGCACCTATAAATATTTACTAGCACCTAATCATAAATCATACCTACGTATAATGTGAGTCATTGTAATTATTCTACCTGACTATAGTTACTGCACTGTTAATGATCATTATTTTTGCTTCTAACTTCTAAGTCATAGACGAGTTCGCTAGTGTAGGAAACACGTTGTTTATTGCGTGCGCGCAGCTAAACGGGGAAGAACCTTCTAATTTAACCGAACATGTTTGTGACGTTCATAAAAAACTTAAGAAAAACCTGTTTTGTTGATCCATTTGTCAGGTTTAGGTGAGAATATTATTTGTCTTAATAGATACTTCTATATTTTTAGAATGCCTCGTTTTTTTTGTGTGGGGTTCGAGCTACCTACTTCTGAACAATATAAGCCCCAGTTTGCTCCGGAACTCGGGCAAAGTATGCTTCTAAGTGTAGGAGAAAAAAAAAGTGTGGGAGAGGCATGCTTCGACACAAATGGGCCGGCTCACGACGGGAGTGATACTACAACCTCACAGAAAAACCGACGTTAAACAACGCTTGCGTTGTGTTTCGGTGTGTGAGTGAGGTTACCAGAGGATCAATCCCCCCCCCCCACCCAATCTGCCCAATCCATAAATCCCCAACAATCCTCAATTTCGTAATCCCCAAAGGCCGGTGCCTTGTACAAGTGCGTACTTGTGGTGTTATGGGTGTCCATGGGCGCCGCCAATTGGATACATCAGGTGATCCGTCTGCTCATTTACCGGCTAATCCCATAAAAAACCCATACTTATTGATTATTTCTGACACAACATTTGCTATGTAACAAACTGTCGAAAAGTGGTTACCCTTTCAGGTATTGTTAAATGAAATTTACGTACCTAAGTAATGCTATGTTTTCTTCTTTCAGAATGTCGAGCTAACGAAGTGTTCGAGTGTATATTTTCGTGTCCTCCCCAACCAATTTGTAATACTAGACATGACAATGTTACCTGTCCAACCGTAAAAGAAACCTGCTCGCACTGGTGTGTCTGTGTTCCCGGTTACATTAGAAATACCCTGGGAGGTGATTGTATACCAGAGAGCTATTGCGGTAATTGTTAAAAATATTATAGCATTTTGTTTCAAAGCTAAATTACTTCAGTCCAGTGCCATAAAAAATCTCCTTAACCCCTCGAGCGTCCTTATAAGAACCCTTATGAGCGTCCTTATGAGCGGGTGGATCATAAGAAAAAATGCTCTATGCTGCTTTCTCTTTTATAAAATCTATTATTAATGTTTTGTTTTTATTTTGACTGTATTTTTTATTTCTATTGTAATGATCCTTGTTTTCGTGTGCCAATGGCCAAATAAATGCATTTTCTTTCTTTCTTACTTACTTTCTCCAAATGTCATGTGTGCACCCGTTGGATCATAAGGAACTCAATAGGCGAACCCCGCCAGTGCCCCCACTGTGCAATGCTAACGCCAGTTGAGATAATAACAATTAAAACTTAATTTCATTATTTCCAGCACTTCAATGTTCCGAGTTTGAAGAAGCCACGAATTGTAAGCGTGTTTGCTTAAACGAAACCTGCGCTGGAATCGGAGGTCCGAAAACGTGCATTGAAAGACCCTGCGAACCGGGGTGCGATTGCAAACCTGGATTTTATAGGGAAGAGGAACGTGGACCATGCATGCCACTTTGTGAATGTCCAGAGAAAAGAGATTCGGACGAATGTTTGAATAAAACAGTGAATAATAAATTTTGGTGATGTTTTTATAGAATGACTAAATTATCTAAGTACTACTCACCTATACTTAATTTTCCAACTTAATTTTGTAAATAAACTTTTCATGTTTTTCAAAAGTAAAATCTTTTAATTTTAAGCTATAAGTACCTAGTCAATAATTATTAGCACTTACAAACTACATGATATGAGTACTACTTATTTACTCAAAAATATACATTTAATTTAATACCTACGTATTTAGTAAGTTAGTACTTTACTTAGAGATGTACTTTTGCTAGGGCTAAAGCGGTTAATTCCTCGAAAGGATAGGTCGAGGAATCGACCGCTTGAATGCATTGAATCCATTGTGTCGTGTGGATCTGGGGTTAAACACATGACGGATTAAGTGCGTCGTTATCCAATCTATTTTGTCAATTTAATTATCAAATAATTAATCAGATGTTACAAACTGATGTCTGGTCTGGTATAGGTAATACTAACATCTGCATAAATAAACTGTTACGTACGTATTGTGTCTGACCGATTGTTATCTCTGTAATAATACCTACCTATACAGATGGTAGTATTGTTGCACATTGATACGTTGACTGGCTCGTTGGCCGAATGGTCGAAAGTGCAACTGCCAGGCAAGAGGTCTCGGGTTCGATTCCCGGGTCGATTCCAAAGTATTACTGGGTTTTTAAAAGTGTGTAGCACGGAGTCTGGAATTATGCCCGGTATATGGCAATAGGCTCACCCCCTATTACATGGGACTCATAACATAAAATAGTGAAAAGTGGGTGTTACGTTGTACTCTTCGGGAATAAAAGGCGTGGTGTTATGTTATGATTCTAATATGAATAAAAAAAACATTAAAAAACAAAACAAAGTATTTAATAATTATAGCAATTATAAGGAATACTTACAAACTAAAATATCAATAAATAAAATAAACTTCTAATGTTTCACAGTAGAAATGTGATAATACTTCTTGTCATCTTCACTTATAGTGTTAGGAGCACCTGACAATGGGTCCCTGCCATCATGGGACTTAGGGAACGCAATCACTTCCCTAATAGATTCTGCATCACATGCCAACGTAACCAGTCTATCAATACCTAACGCAATCCCAGCATGTGGAGGACACCCACACTTCAACGCATTCAAGAAATGTGACAACTTCAAAGAATCAATGTCCAAAATCTTCAGTAACTTTTCTTGTAACTCTGCATTGTGAACTCGGACAGATCCACCACCGATTTCATTGCCATTCATAACTATGTCATAGGCTAAGGATCTCACTTTTAATGGATCTGAGTCTAATAAATGCATGTCGTCAGGATGTGGTGATGTAAAGGGATGATGGCATGTCTCTAAGCCATTTTCTCCTTTTACAAATAAGGGGAAGTCTACCACCCATAACGGTTCTACATTTTCTTTTACTCGAAGTAAATCCTTTGATTTTAATAATGAAGCCATCATTAATCTTATTTCTCCTAAACAAATGCAGGCATTCTTATCTTCACCTAAAACTATTATTGCTGCCTCATCTCCTACAACATTTTGAATCCTTGCTCCAATTTCTATTCCCAATTCCTTATTAATATTTTCATTTAATACCACTTTACAGGAATATTTTTTGGCAAATTCTTTAATTTTTTCTTTGTATTTTGTTGTTAATTTCCCAATTTCTTTTGTATAAGGAAGTGCATATGCACCAAAGTCTTCCTCATTCGATTTTTCAGGGAATAAATTCTTGATATTTACAAACTTCAAGTCAAATGTTAAGTTTGGTTTGTCTGATCCATAATTTGATAATGCATCTTTATAAGTCATTCTTCTGAAAGGTGGCTTTGGTAATTGTTTGACAAAAGTCTCATAAAGTAAATGTTCAATCATAGTTAAGACTCCATCTAAGTTGGTGAATGATAATTCAATATCCAATTGTGTGAACTCAGGCTGTCTATCCGGCCGAGTAGTTTCATCTCTGTAACATCTTGCCACTTGGAAGTATCTATCAACGCCACCCGACATGAGCATTTGCTTGAACTGTTGTGGACTTTGGACCAAAGAATAGAACAATCCCTCATGATGTGTAGGTACAACAAACTCTCTTGCACCACCAGGAGTCCTACAAAACAATGTAGGAGTCTCAACCTCAACAAACCCATGATTCTCAATCAAAAATCTTCTCATATTGTGCAACATGTGTGAACGGACTCTCAAATTGTTCTGCATTTCAGGAAACCTTAAGTCTATATACCTGTGCTGCAATCTAAGCTGTTCTTTAGGTTTTTGGTAATCTCTCAGATTAAATGGAAGCTTGTCTACAGTGTTGAGTACTTCTAACTTGTTCATAACAACTTCTATTTCACCAGTAGCCATTGTTTTATTGATCATGTCTTTAGGTCTTAGTGAAACAGTGCCTTCAATCTTAACAACTGTTTCTAAAGGTATATCAGACAAGTTTATGTTGTCGTTGTTTACTATGCATTGTGTCAGGCCATATGCGTCCCTTAGCAGAAGGAATTTGGATAATCTAGAGAACTGAATCCAACCACAAAGAGTGACTTTCTGTCCTTCATGTTGGGGCCTAAGTTCTCCACAAGTATGAGTTCTATATGTAAAAGTATTACAGTTTTGATCTTCGACTAATGGTTTAACGCTTTGTTTAGTCTCATGAAAACTTTTCAGCGGCAAAATCGAAGGATTATAGGTTATGTGTTTATCTTGAAGTACAGCATTACTAAACCTTGCAACAGTCTTCTGCTGGCGTAATAAGTGCTTGGTCTGACTGCAACACGACGAAACCGAGAAGTATTTTAAACATGTTCTGTTTAAATTCATATTTCTAGCCAACATTTCAAGTTTTGATAGCACTATCTTAAACGTTATAAAATTATATCAAAAACTTGCGTTCCCAGTATTTTAATAATTCTGCAACATAATTTACTTAATGTTCTTCTGAAAATCAACTGTAACTTAGCAGATATATTAGAATTTATTTAAAAATTAAATTGTTTACAACTTCCTGGATAATCGGCTTGCATGTCATTTGACATTTGTTTTGGCACTTGACAGCTTAAAACGTCAACTGTCATAACAGATAACTACATTTTTTTAACTTTTTGAAACAAAGCCTTTTGAGTTATGTATTGGTGCGTCCTAATTTGGCGAACGCGTTACTCAGACGCGCGCACCCAGTTAATATGCTACTCGATTTTACTCGAAAATTATTTATTCAAACGTTTGAACCGTGAACACCCAACTAAGAATAAGCAAGTCAACGCAACTAGTTCCGAAATCCAATAATTTTATCATTGAATTACATAGACGATCATTCGTGCTATTAAGAAATGTTAGCTAGGTGCTAATGAATTCTGATCGCCAATTATCTATGCACGAGCGAATTATCTTAAATGTAGAGAGCCCGTTCAATTAAATTAGTGTAAAGTCAATTTATATTAACGCAGAGTCGAAATGCATTAAGCATTCAAATTCAATTCAACCTTAACTCACATTTCAGACTTTTGCGTCAATTCTACAAGCAGTGCGTGCTGATACCGAGGTACTGTGGTAAACAGTGATACCGAATTTTTTTGACTGAGAAAAGTACTTAACTATCTTCCTAATCACTCACCTCCAGTGTAATCAAAATGATTAATACCCCAAACAGCTGGAGCATCACTTAGATAAAATCTAGGCGCAAAGTTGGGTTTAATAAAAAATAAATGAAAGACAGTAAATAGCAAATTATTCAAAGATTTATTAACTTTAGAAAAATACATAAAATCTGAAAGTACTCAATAGTAACATTGTGATAGTGTCACGGCAGTGCTTTCACTCTGAATATATTACGATATAAGCACAAGGAAGCACGGCATAAGGCTCCTTTACCGCGGTAAATAATAGCCTAACTAAAACTATCAAATTATCACAAAGATAACTACTTATTTGAGAAAACAAAGTGGAAATTAGGAACGAAGTGCTTAAACTCCGAAACTTTAGTTTAAAATTCAACTTACAACTAATTAACAGTTGCGAAATTTAGGCACTTAGCAATGATCAATCGTTACAATATAACAATTCTAAATTGAATAGAAAATCTGAAAAATTACAAAAATCAAAAACTGAACATTACTTGTCAAAGTATCTTCTGCGATTGCGCGTCCGACATAAATAGGTCAAAGAAATAAATTACAAAACTTAGTCAATGCAGATAATGTCAGAAATGCAGTTACAAAGAAGTCGCTTAGCCTAAAAATACTAAAAAAAGCTTTATCGCCATCAACAAAAACAAATGATAAACCTTTCAAATGTATCTCAACTGCACAACCATCAGATTGTCGTTAAGATTTGAACATCACAACAAAGTTTACAATAGAATTTCTGCTTTATTTACTCAGAAATAAAGAATAAAATTCGAAGAATCAAAAACCTAAGTATTAATTTGAAGGAAATCAAACGCTGCGCCAGATAGGCATAGGGACAGGCATTGGTCTTGGGTACAAGGCTGATGCTGGGTTTATGTAGTCATAGGGCAGGTTCACACAGCTTGGCATTGGAGACATGATGGTAGGGTAGACTGGCGCCAGTGTCGGGGGTGGGGGTGGCATGGACTGCTGAATGAGGTCTGCTTTCAACATCTGCAATTGAGAAATAGTACTATGTTAAAACCAAGTTCAATTAAATACCTAATTAAGTTGTAGGATAAATCATTACACTACTTAGGCTGGTATGGCAGGCATAGTTAAAAATTTAATAATTAAATAAAAAATTCTATAATAGGCAATAGTCCTCAATGTCTGGGCACAGAGTGGACACAAAGGATGAAAAATCATCTGCAGTAATTATTCAGATACTTTTTCAAGGTTTTATCACATAAACCACTTGAATGCACCGATATGAGACAATAGAAAGTACATTGTGTCTCACGTGGATCCACGTTTAGACACACAACGGGCAACTAATAATTTTTAATACTTAAATAAAGTACCTTTATTACTTGAAGAGCACTGTCAGCAGCCTCAATCTGTGCTTGTTGCATGGACATGCACGGTCTTGTGGCGAGAGGTCCAAGGCGTCTTGGTATACTCAGTAAGGGCATACCAATGTGTGGAATCTCTACTCTTCCTATCCAAATCTCTGTACCTGAAGGGTCCAAGTACTTCTGGTAGTTATAGACAGGAGGTGCCCACATATACCTGTAAAGCATACAATTAAAGGTCAGAAATTTTAATTTTTTTACAAATGCTTCTAAGAATTTACTAATAAATAAAATTAAAAATATAAGAGAACTAATTTTAAACTAATTAGGAAGGTAGACATTAAACTTATATGTGATTAATTGGTAATTAAAATGAAGTACCTTTTGCACATAGAATCTAGTTTAGCTGGGGCCATGGGATATTGTTCTTTGGTTTTGGTGGTTTGAGGGTAGGCTGAACAATTCATCTCCGATGGTGATCCACATGAAGACTCGCCTGCACAAGCAGAGCCAATTCCTTCATCATCTTTTGGAGATGACATGTATTCTTTCTTCTCAAGCTGTTGTTTGTGCAACCACAAAGTTTGGGATAGGTTGAAACTGTTGTTGAACTTCGCATTCCCTCTGTTTAATTTTTGAATGCGGTAAATCTCTCGAACAACCGGTTTCGCCCATCTAATCTCAATATTACTGCCATCAATATCAGCATTTTGCAATTTCCTCATTGCCAACTCAGCATGTTCACGGTGGTAGAAATGAATGAAAGCGTAATCATAGATCTTTTTCACTCGCTCAATTTGATTACCGATTGCCGCTTCAAAAACTGCTTGGATAGTTTCAGGTGTGGTCTTAATTTGGAAGTTTCTTACATAGAGCACCTTTACCTGCAAAAGTATGCAGGTTTCATAAATCAAAATGTTCAATAGACTGCTTTAAATTTAAACAATAGCTAAAGGACATAACTTTAAAAGAGCAAAAGCTGTGTGACAAGGCAAGAGGGTTCAAATTCACTTGGCATCACTGATCATTTGAGCAATTTGATAATGATACGTCGCACTTTGTTTATCTAAACAAAATCGCAGTGCCATATATATGACTAGGTAATAGAAGATAGACTTCGCAATTTAAAAACTCGGTTTCTAATTAGCAACATGGCAGGTGTAATATAATCTAAACACAGCTGTTACAAGTAGGCTTTGTAAACGTAAATATTTAAGCACAATAGCAAAGAGGATTCTTGTACCTATACGGCACGTGCACGTAGGATAGGCTGCGGCAAAGATCGCAAAGCAGTACATTAGAACTTACTCACCCTTTGCATCTGTTCATCGTCGATATCAGGCTCCGGTTCTGCCCAGTCCACCATCACCTCCTGGTCCCATATCTTCACACAGCCGGGAACAAGCGCTCGTCGCGCCATCGCCGCTGCCCTGTGGGAAGTAAACTCCACAAACGCGAACCCTCTGTTAAGTCTCTTGTCATAGCAATTCTTGTACAGAATCAAGTCAACAATTCCAGCCACGCGCTTGGACAGCTCTTCAAACACTTCCTCCTTAGTTTTGGACTTTGGTATGTTGCCGACGAACAGGCGACAGTTGTCCACTGATTTTACGACGCCGATGTGTCGCCTTGGGCGAATTTCATAGCCATTTAATTCTTTCACAGCCCTCGAGGCTTCGGCCCTCGTACAGTATGTTACGAAGGCGTAGCCCCGGTTGGAGCCGGAGAAATCCATCATTAATCGCATTTCATAGATCTTACCCGCTTTTGAGAACACTGGTACCAGTTCATCTTCGAAGATCTCTCTGGGAAGTTTGCCAATGAAGATTTCGCAGCCCTTTTGTGGCGGGGGGCCGACCCAGTCCGGAGGAGGACCAAACTTGCGCTGTCCATTGTGCTGCACGAGCGGGTATCCAGTTTCTTGCATCAGGTCCAAGAGTTTCCGCGTCATACACTCTCCTTGCTCTACCATTTTGATATGATTAATATTACTAATCAACAACTTTAATATGCACTGCTTATCGACTGATGGCGAAAAAGCGGCAAATCAAAGTAGCGGTCCCCTTTATAGTTTCACCGACAAACATCGGGCGGCGGCTGTGACGTCACAAACGATTCGAATTTACCGCTGATGTTGTGTACGTTTGCCGTCTTAATTCATTTGAAAGTAAATATGTACATTATATAATTAATAATAGATTTTAAAATGAATTTAATTTCATAAAATTACCTCTCTGAGACGATTTAAATGAATAAAGTAGTTTAATTGAGATTACATGGTCGGTAATTCAAAGGATAGAGATAGGTATGTAGTTATATTTAAGAGTTCCGTTTTCGCCTTTGTTTATTAATTAATTTAAAATTTAAACAAACGAATAATAGTTAAAATAGAGTAATATGAATATTGATGGAATTAATTATTATAAATGTTTTGTTTTTTTAATGACGAGTGTTTTTGTAATCACTTTGAAAACTTTGTTACTTTTTATTTAATTTATTATTGTTTTCGTTAACTACTGAAAAGACTACAAGAATTTAGTTGTTAGTTATGCATTCTACTGCAATAACTAGATTTACATAAATTAATACATTATTTAATAGAAACAATTCATAAAAAGTATTTTCAATCATCATTTTGTCGTTACTCATCCAATATTAATGTTTTTGAATATTTTGTATGAGATAATCAAAAGAAAATTATTTTCCTACGATATTATTATGAATAAAAACATTTATTTAAAAGTTGTCGAATAAAAAATATAAAAAAGTATCGATCAATGTTTGTTTATAGTAAAAGTTAAAGTACTCTGTTAATAGATGGCGCAGATGTAAATTTTCACATAAGTGCATGGGGAATCCCTTGGGTATTCGAAATATTAATTACGTACCTACTTACATATTGTGTAATACAAGTAACGCCACTAAAGTAATGGTGATTATTGTAACAAAATATTTTTCTTAGAATTTGTGCTGATTTTGAGGTAGATTGTTCCGTCTTACATACTTCTAGCTTTCCTGTTATTTCTCCCCTTACTTCATTCGGTTGATAAAACACAATTATGAAATTATTATGTGATCACTAGTTAGTTTAGTCCAAAATGAGGCTTACGTCTTGTTTATGATTAATGTATATCTTCAGTCCAAATTGTTATTTTTCAATAAAAGCTATTTGTTGCACAGAAATAGACATTTACCTATATTTTTAAATGCCTCACTAACGCATTAGGTTATAAAATTACCTGTAATGTTAGGTGAAATAATTAAATGAATGTAAAAAAAACACTGTGTGTTTAATAAAAAGGATGGATGATCTGTTCCGAATAACCTTAGAATGCAGTGTCTATCAGCTCTGCATCTAGGTAGTCTACAGCCAAACTTAGCATGGAATAATAAAATCTTATAATTTAAAATCAATGATGGGAACATGCAACATAAAAAAACAAAACCAAATTCAATAATTTTAATATGATCTGTAATACACAACACGTACAAAATAATTATATCCTTATGTCCTTAACTCAGTACACAACACACGGTAACAGTCAAACGAGCATACAGAAGGATTATATTGAATTTACACCTAATAGTATACTACTTACAAGATTGAAATTCGATTGGCACGATATATCAATATTTATAGTCAAAAGGTATGGGATGTGGTTATAACTATTAGCTATACGACTTTCGCCCTTAAATACATGTAATTGCTTTAAGCTTTTAAGCGTTCGCGTAGCTGTTAAATATAAACTTGCTTATACAATGAAACTCTATTCCTAGTAATATGTCCAACAAAAATCCGAACATATGTCTCGAAGGATTATCAACCACAGGTCTCGTGTTCGAACCACAGATTACAAACAACATGTTTGGATGATTTTTTTTAAGGGGGGAAAATCATCGAATGACTTGCTCCCGCCTGGGTGAGGCGGGAGGGAGTGTCAGACTCTTACTGACTAACACCCCGTTCCTTCTCCTGAGCTTCGAGCCGGAGCCCCGGTAAGCCGTTAGGTTCTCCGCGGCTCCGAATCGGCATCAGCCCTATTGGGCCCCATCCATAATGTTTGGATGGCTAGATTTAAAAGATCCTCAGTAAACAAGGGGTGAGACTGTTGTCATAATAATATAACAAGAATCCGAACAGAATTCTTATAATCCAAAAATAACCCAATCTTATTTTGTCCTATCCGAGGTACGAACAAGAGACCTTATGTTTTTATAATAACTATCGTGAAACATACTAAATTAACTAAAAATCGGGGGTTACTCACGTGAATATACTGAGAAAAGCTCTACTAGTTTCGAACCACAGAGGGGTTCTTCCTTATGAGCAGCGCAACCCACGATTTTTAGTAGACCTTATGCTTAGTATTTGCGCTAGTTCTTGCCCAACGAAGTAGTTAAAATACTTGAATATTACAATAATTCAATTCATAACTTAAACCTATAATTATCACAATCAAATAATACACTAAAAGCAGATCTTTGAGATACAATATTAACAGTGAACCCTGCCTTAGGAATGATCTATATTACATGAGCACATGAAGTAATGCAATTTAAACCTTATATCAAACAGAATTAAAGACAAAACTTGAATAATAATGAGAAAAGGGTGAAGCAAATGTTTACAGTTCCGATCTATATTACATGAACACACAAAAGAAAGCGATTTCAACCTTACCTATAATAGATTTAAAGTAAAAATTGGAGCAACAATGAAAATGTCCAACAAAATAAAAATAACTGATACAAAAATGTTTATATGGGCCCACCAATGAATGCAAATTAAACCTTATGACAAATATAATTGAAATCAAACTTCCAGCAACTACAAAAAAAGTGAAACAGCAAACCATTTATCATACAACAAAACTTGAACCCTCTCTTTTACCAGTAAGTGCTAAAATTGATCAACCAGTGTCAATACAAAATATAGGTCACGTATGCGAGGCTCAATACATTACAATTTATACACAAACACTTCATTTTACTATCACAAGCAACTTATATTTATAAATATTTACAGTAAAATATTCTTATTATTAAAAAAAATGGAATGATTTTACAGGGATAAATAGGCACTCAATTATTAACTCTGTACACATTATTATAAAGTTGAATTTTATTTAACAGAAAGACTTGTACTGTCTTTTTAATGTCAGCCAGGAAATATTAGTTATGTTTAGTTAGAAAAGAAACATAATTTATGGTAAAAAAGTTTGTTAGCCTTGCTGAAGTCTTTTTAAATATTTTTCTAGTACCTATTACCCTTTTGTGAAACAAATAGTGTTCTTAAAAACTAAACTGAACTTAAAATAAGAACTATTGATACTATACAAATAATTACAAATATCTGACACGAAATATGAATGTCGGCAAACAGTTATACTTAGTATTAAAAACTGATTTTTCCAAAGTTCTTATATATAAGTCTATGCGATATTAGAAAACCAAAGAAAGACAGATGTTTCAAAATAAATCTTAATATACAAGTTTTGAAGTATTTTTAAACATTTCTATAGTTCCAAACATAATTTATAATTTACAAAACAAAAAAAAAATACAATTTAAGCTCGAAACTTTTTAAATTTATCAATTTCAGATTTTCGAAGAACAAATTAAAATAAAAACAAATTCGATCACACGGCATAATCTCACAAAACAATCTCCTGCATACACAAACATAAAAACCAAATTAAAAAAATACAATTTACATTTCAGAATTTTGATCTAAGCCCTTGTTATCGTACCCACGTGAAGTGGTGACGGAGGCGCCATCTGTGTCGAAGCTAGCGTCAGTGTCTACCTCTACGACCCACGGTTGTATCTCTGCGGAACAGAAGAGTCCGTATATTATCGCACCTATTAGATAGATGGCGCTGGATATGAAGAAGACTATACGCCATTGGTCTGCAGACTGGAAAAGAAATAAGAGCGTTGTTAAATAAGAACATTGTTTTCACTGTGATAAACACTGAAAATATTTCAAAATATTAACAAAAAAGGTCGTAAGAAATATGTAACCAGAGAGAACTACATACTTTTTAGGCTATTATTCGAAATATGTGTCTATTGTAGCATCCACTACCCATCGCCATTGGTCAGTTGAGTTATCAATGGTTAGGTTATACTTAAAAATCAATCTTTATTTTTTTATTTTTAGTCATGGTAGAGTCTCACAATTATAAGCAGTATTGTGCAACAAATTATGCGCTGAGCATCGGGCATTCATTTATTTTCTGACATGTATTTCAAACAACCTGTGGTACACTGTTGAATGTAGGGTACTTACTGTAAATTTGTATAATAGTAAATCTGTACATAATTACATAACATAACATCACGCCTCTTATCCCCGAAGGAGTAGGCAGAGATGCACATTATGGCACGTAACATCCACTTTTCACATTATATTAAGTCAATTTCAGACTCTGTTTCTTATTTTTATTTTGCCCGACCCGGGAAGCGAACCCGAGACGCTTTGCTCAACAGTCGCACTTGCGACAATTCGGCCAACGAGGCAGTCTATACGTAATTACAAAAGACATATTTACCTTATCAGTAACGATGGCTCCAGCCAGCGGCGGGGAGATGATGCCGGGCAGGGTGGCGATAGTGTTGGACAGACCCATCAGTACACTCGCGTGAGGGGGAGCTATGTCCAGGTGGTTCACACTGGAATATACATAGTTATTTGGTTAATTATATAACTCTTTATTACTATTACTTATTATTATTACGAACAAGGTACATCATCAAGACCGTTATTTCTAGAAAATATTGATTTTGTAGTCATAACAGTGAGAGCCATGCTTCGGCACGAATGGGCCGGCTGGATCGGAGTGATACCACGGCCTCGTAGAAAACCGACGTGAAACAACAAGCTTGTGTTGTGTTTCGTCGTGTGAGTGAGGTTAATGGAGGCTCAGTGATCCCCCTTCCCAATTTTTCCAATACCCTAATCTCCAAAAATCCTCAAATTACTAATCCTCAAAAGGCCAGTAATGCACTTGGAACACCTCTGGTGTTTCGGGTGTCCATGGCGATGGCGATGGCGAGCCCCCGATTTTTCATCTTTCAAAGAGAAGTCGGTCATATTGAACATTATTTTTACTCAGTAGACTAAGTAGACATTATGTACCTATATATTACAATAATATACAATAATATTGTAACAATGTATACCTGAATCCGGACCAGGCGAATCCTCCGAGGCCGACAGCGATAGTAAGGAACACGACACATCCCGTCACTGACGTGGAGTACGCCGCAGCTACCATGAACACCGTCTGTAATAGTAAAGTTACATTTATTTTAAAAACTAAATAAAAATTTAATACCGTAAATTCAATACTTTTTTCGACTGTCGAAGTGTGATTATTTTTTAATATTTTATTGTATTGAACAGTCCAAATTATTTATTTTTTATTAAGGCAAGTACTCAATTGTTTGCAGCCGGTAGCCTACTCACTGCGCTCTCACTCTATGGCCAAATATTATGATAGCGTAGATAACTACGATGTCATAATATAAGTAACAATAACATAATCACGGAGTTCCATACAATAAGGTGTTACAAGGTCGTACACGGTGTACATCGGAGAGGGATGATCGATAAATCGTCTCGAATGTTCTGCGAAATCGGTTTACAACAGCTTCTGAGGCTCGTAGGCGATTGTTTGAAGTTCGTAATGTGAGTGTAAGTCTACGAACAATAAGAAGAAGGTTAGTAGAGCGGTACCTGAGAGCATTTCGACCAGCTCGAGTCCCAGAATTGACTGCAGCGCACAGAAGAGCGAGACTAAGATTTGCCCAAGAACATGCAAATTGGACTTCGGAACAATGAAAGATGGTTCTCTTCTCTGATGAGTCAAGAATCTCTCTACGAGATCCTGATGGACGCCAGCGCGTGTATAGATGCCGCGGAGAAAGGTTTGCTGAATGTGCTTTGGTCGGAACCGTAGGATACCAGGGAGGGTCGATAGTGGTATGGGGTGGCATATCTTACGACGCCCGTACAGAGCTGTAATCTTTGAAAGAGGCAGTGTAAATGCTCGCAGGTACGTGACAGAAGTCCTAGAACCACAAGTGGTACCTTTTGCGCCATTCATAGGCAATGATATTGTTTTAATGCACGACAATGCCCGTGCACACACCGTGAGATTTGTTACCGAGTTCTTGGATGCCGTCAATATTCAGCGATTACTTTGGCCAGCTCGAAGTCCGGACCTGAACCCAATAGAACATGAGTGGGACAGTCTCAAAAGACGAATCCGGGGTCGTACACCAGCTCCCAGCACCTTCAGTGAGCTAAGAGCAGCAGCGATCGAGGAATGGGAAAACATCCCCCAAAGCGACATCCAAGACATAATGGATGGGCTTCCAAATCGGTTGCATCAAGTCATTAGGGCCAGGGGAGGGATACACATTATTAATTCGTAAATTTAGGGTACACTTTTCTTTTAAATCCATTTTTGCATTTTTTATTTTTTGTACGAAAACTCCATTTCCACATTTATTCATTATTTTTTGTCTAAATAAACCATTTAACAACTTACACATGTTTCATTTATGTTCGTGTATATCTGTGTAACTTAATATCATAACATAATTTATTTCAATTCGACTTATTTTTAAGAGAACTGAAAAATTGTAGGTGGCCGGATAAATGTGCCCCTGAGTGTATTATAAATGTGAGTTTCTTTGTTTGAACGTTTGGATATTTACCCGTCAATCACGCTGAACGGATTTTGATGAAGAGTGCTATACAGGTAGGGTATGGTTTTTATCCCGATTAAATGCTCCTATGGGATAAAACAGGAATCAAATTCTACGCGGACGAAGTCGCGGGCAACAACTAGTACAATACTATACTATACTACAATAAAATACCGAAGAATGCGATACTTAATTTTGGATTTAACTTGAGTTGAAGCTGCCTTTAACCATGGAATAATCCAGTAAGTTGTATGTTGAGAAATTATTAGGTATGTCTATTTTGTATAAAAATGTGCAAATACGACAGTAAAAATTAAAGAAAATTACTAAAACCAACCTGTGACAGAAAAGCTCCGCAGTTAAACAGCTTCCTAATATTAGTCCTGGACATCATCCCTCGCCGCAGCATCCAGTCCGCGATGTGTCCGGCCACCTGCAGTACTATCGCCATCGCCAAGTATGGGACGGCGGATAGCCAACCAGTTTGAGATGTCTCGAACTTGAATACATCTGTAAAATTTGGAAGAAATATTAATTGGGTACTTTCCTTAATCAAAATTAAATTATTGTATAAACAGTCGAAATAATTTGATTTTATAACAGTCGAAATAACAATAAAATATTTAAAAAATGTGCAAATAATAATAATCACACTTTCATTCATTGATATATGTAAATATAGTTAAACTTAATTTTAGTATAATTCCAGCAAAATTCAGAAAAATAAGTATGATGTTAGACGCTAAAAAACGTGACGTCACAACACAATACACAATCTCGTGCAAAATTCATAGAAAACTGTCGTTTTTGACATATCGAAAACAGTATTTGACTGCACGGTCGGTGGTGGCACACTTTGTGTGATCCACAGATTGTTATTCCGGGTCTGGGTGTCATGTGTATGTGAACTTGTATGTTTGTAAACGCACCCACGACACAGGAGATAATGTTAGTGTGAGGTAACTTTTTTTTTAAAAAAAGTATTACAATTGTTACCTTTGATACAAGTAGATTATTAAGAAATTAGAAATGATAGTAACATATGTTGTCTGAACAATAAACTATATATACACTTAGATCTCTCGGACAGCTCAGCGGAAGCTCTCGGACAAGAGAAAAAAATTAATTCTAATTAATTACCTTGCATAAACGTAGGTAGGAAAGTAAGTAACGTGTAGAAGCCCCAGTTTTCACTAAAATGTGCCATAACGATGGCCCAGACCGGCGCAGATTTGAGCATGTCGCCCCATGGGTGACGTATCTTTGATCCTTCTACTGCCTGCGTTCCTCGTGAATCCTGGAATGAATTGAAATTGTATTCATCATCATATTATTATATACATAACATCACGCCTTTTATCCCCGAAGGGGTAGGCAGAGATGCACATTACGGCATTTAATGCCACTGTATGTACAATGTAACATCCATTTTTCACTATTTACGTTATGCATCCCATGTAATAGTAGCCATGTGAGCCTTTTGTCATATATAAATAATAACAATAAAAACAGTTATTGTATATCTACGGTAAATATTATAATTTAATATTTATTTAAGTTTGCTTAGTGTTGTTAATTATATTATTATTTATCTATTTCATTATTATTATGGCATTCAGCAAGAACCCCGTGATGGGTAAAGGCCTCCTCCAAAGATGACCATGGCATGGCATGGCAGTCGCACTTGCAACCACTCGGCCAATGAGGCAGTCTTCAAGTAATTCATCATCATCAGCCAATTAATCTTAAACAACAATTTGCTGCAGGTACCTGAATATACTTGAGTTCAGCCGGAGATATATGAGGATCCTTCTCAGGTGACTCCTTCACGACCAGCCACCATATAGTAGTCCAGACTAAACCGGATAGACCTGTGATCGAAATAAGACAATGAATATGAAGCATCCTTACTAATATTGTTTGTTTGTTTGTTTGTTCCAGCTTCACGCCGTAATTACTCAACCGATTGCTTTGAATTTTTGCAGACGTAAAGTTAGAAGTCCGGTTTAAATAATAGGGTACTTTTTAACCCGGAAAAATTGATATTACCGAGGAAAAATAAAAGTATTGGTATAGATGGCGCTGTGTGTATTGGTATATGTCACATAGGCTACTTTTTATCCTTTTGTGGCGCGAGCGAAGCCGCGGGTAAAAGCTAGTATCAAATAAATTATTGACGTTCGAATGTGAGATACCGACCGAAGATACCGACTAATGATCAGTTTCAAACTACCTGTAGATTTAGAGGCAGCATTTTTTAGTATTGACTTATCGAGTATAAGTTGCCTACATAATTGAAAGTTAAAATTAAATAATATGTCATTTATGAGAAACAGACAAAAGAAAATTCTATGCAAACATAAAGTTTTAGTGTGGGAAAGCCATGCTTCGGCACTAATGGGCCGGCTCGACCGGAGTGATACCACGGCCTTACAGAAGACCGACGTGTATGTTTCGTCGTGTGGGTAGGGTTACCGGAGGCCCTTCCCCAACCCCTAAATCCCGAACAATCCTCTAATTCCTTCTGCTCGTTTACCGGCTTATCTCATAAAAAAGTACACTTCAGAAAGATGTGACTACCTAAAGAAGAAATTCATTCTTCAATTAATTTAATAAATTAATTATTACGTACCAAATACATAAAAGATGCCAGGCCAGCCAGTGTAATGAGCCAGTAGCGAACATATGGGCATAGACACGACGGTGCCCGCGTAGCTGCCGCTGAAGGCAAACGTCGCCAGGCGGGCGCGCTCCGGGCCCGGCGCCCAGCGGGACCATACCGCGTGGATACATGGGTACGTTACACCCTGTGGAAGATTTATTTATTTATTTATAAACTATGTACATACTACTATCATAACAGGAACTAATACCTAATGCAATAGTGTATGCCAATATTAATAGAATTAAATTACTAAGTCTATTTTACAATTAGGTACTACAACATTTATAATTATGGTAACAAAAATATCCCTTAAGCTAAGTCACAGATGGGTCAGGTTAAGATAATGACTTGGTTATAATGGTTATTACTTCTCGAAATATAACTGCAAAGGTGTCGATATTAACTCGTCGAGCGTCCGCGTTCCTTATGATCCAACGGGTGCACACGTGACATTTGGAGCATGTTTTTCTTATGATCCACCGGGTGCTCATAAGTACGCTCGAGGGGTTAACACGACAATTAAACAATAAATTGTGTATAAATCACCTCAAAGAATCCCTCGACGACTCTAACAGCAATCAGTAGGCCAGTGCTGGTGTGCGCTAGTGGCGGTGTGAACAACGTCAGTAGAGATGTCGCGCCGATGCCTATCGCAAACACCCTGGAAAGTAGAGATATTTGTTATTATGTTATTTAGTTGCTGCCTCAGTGGCAGAGTGGTCGCAACTGCGACTGCCGGGCAAGGTGTCTCGGGCAAAGTATTACTAGTTTTAAAAAAAATCTTAGTTATAGCACGGAGTCTGCAAATGTGTCCGGTATATGGCAATAGGCTCACCACCTATCATATGGGACTCATAACATAAATAGTGAAAAGTGGGTGTTACATTGTACGGTGGCATAATGTGCACCTCTGCCTACCCGTTATAGTAAAAGTCTGTCGAAAAGCTTGAGTTCAATAAATGGGTCGCTCGCTTTTATTGGTATATTATTTTCCTTCTTAGAAAAAAACGAAGCCTGTGGTGTCTGTGTGGAATAGGCTCACTCCATATACAGGACACTTAACATTACTGGCGAAACGTGGGTAGTACATAGGTAGTTATACCTCAGCCGATATCTTCAAACCACATCATTAAAGGTAAACTAAATTAGGTTAAATGCTTATGATATTAAGATCTATTGTTCTATAAAACGGAACGAACCTGTTACCTCCTATTTTAGCCGCGAGCCAGCCGCCTGGGAGCTGTGTGATCAGGTATCCGTAGAAGAACGAGCTGAGTACCAGACCCTTAGTTTGTGAACTCCAGTCGAATTCTGGAATCTGAAAAAATAGGCAGGTGAATAAAATAATTTAGAATGTATGTACAAAAAATGTCATTAAACAGATCTATCTATTAAATTACTACCTGACCCGGCAAACGTTGTTTTGCCATATAAATAATTTCGTAGAAGGGTGAAAATTGAGGATTGTATGTATTTTTGTACGTTGTATCATAAAATAGAAATTAAAAATTTTGTCTGAAAAATCAAAATAAAAATTTAGGGATGGACTACCCCTAACATTTAGTGGGATGAAAAATAGATGTTGGCCGATTCTCATAGATACCGGATAAGTACAAAAAATGTAATCAAAATCGGTCAAGCCGTTTCGGAGGAGTATGGCAACGAAAACTGTGACACGAGAATTTTGTATATTAGAAGATGACTGCCGACAAAATATTTTGATAACATTGGTCAACATATCATTGCCACTACATGAGGCGTTGAACGTGTTCAGTATATGAAAATGTAACTTCACACCTTTTATTGCCGCTGTGCACATTACGGCACTTAACCCGTCGTGTGTCTAAACGTGGATCCACGCGAGACACCATGTATTTTCTATTGTCTCATTTCGGTGCCTTCAAGCTGTTAAATGCCACTGTACAATGTAACACCCACTTTTCACTATTTATGTTATGAGTCCCATGTAATAGGGGGTTAGCCTATTGCCATATACCGGGCACAATTCCAGACTCCGTGCTACTACTCAGAATAAAAAACAAAACCCTTGCCCGGCAGTCGCACTTGCGAACACTCGGCCAACGAGGCAGTCTGAACGAGGTACATGACAGAGAGTGAAAATTAAGACATGAGAGTACCGACCAAATGTAAACCGTGCCACATACAACACACAGTTTATCATTAAATAACCAAACAGCCATCAAACCTTAAAGGACATAACCTACAAACATGTTTTGATACAACTCCTAACCACCCATTTTGTCACAAAAGCCTAAGTGGGCTAACATTTCGAGGCGACGTTATTCCGAAGATAAATGACGTACTAAGTAACGAGCATAATATGGAAGCTGGAGCAATAAATACTTAACATAGGGAGTATTAAAAGCCTCTCAAAGTAAGGTTATCGGCGATTAGTCGTTAGCCAATAAAACAATATGGTTGACTGGGTTCTGGGGTGGGATGAAACTATTAGCACTGATTGCTTCCATTATTAGGTATATGTTTAGATTCGATGTGATTAATTGGTTTGTTAAGCTTGTTTGGTTCATTAGCCGTGATGATAGTTGAGTAAAAGATATTTGTCCACCACTGACCGGTCTTTCCATCGGTGTAGTATGAGCCTAAGAATTAGGTACATATTTGAAAGACACACGGCAACAGTGGTCTTTGATACTTTGGACTTCTTCAACTGTTAGCTTGCCGGGTAGCAAACTTTTTTACGTCTGGTCTGGGTGCTTACTCTTGAAACCAATCTCAATGTCAATGCAATTTCAATCCAATAAAATCTCAATAATGATTCAATGTCAAGACTATACTACCCCTATCGTAGCTGTTGAAAAAGCATTCAGAGTACAGAATATAAAGCCATTTAGTTCATTCAATATCCACGCAATACGGATGCAATGGGCGCTAGTGTTGCAACTCAAGAGTACGAAATTTCGCAATACCAATGTCGATCGATCGGAATTGGATTCAAGAGTAAGCCACTTGGTCTGGTCAGCGCCAGACTATTATTTAGTGTCCTTAAGGTTATTTTCTTTTTCGATCTTTTTGACTAGATTTTACCATTCTTTTTTTTTTTTAAGGGGGGAAAATCATCGAATGACTGCTCCCGCCTGGATGAGGCGGAAGGGAGTGTCAGACTCTTACTGACTAAAAACCACCCCGTTCCTTCTCCTGCACGTCGAGCCGGAGCCCCGGTTACCCGTTAGGTTCTCCGCGACTCCGAATCGGCATCGGCCCTATTGGGCCCCATCTGTGGTGGTTTGATGGCTATGGATAGAGTACTTACTAATACAACAGTCCCATTATCGAGTTTGGTTTCCACCGGTTCTGTCATGGCGACCACGGCGACTGACAGGTTGACGCGAAGCGCGTACACGTTGAAGAAGCCGAAAAACGCTAGCAGCGCCACCACCAGCCGTCTCCGCCGCCAGAAACACCATGTCATCTGGTGGTCTTTGGACTGTTCTCTGCAAAGAGAAGAAAGATATTATGAGAAAAATGATTAAGAAGTTATAGTACTTACTCAGTTAACCCCTCGAGCGTCCTTATGAGCACTCGATGGATCATAAGAAAAAATGCTCCATGCTGCTTTCTCATTTATAAAATCTATTACTAATGTTTTGTTTTTATTTTGACTGTATTTTTTATTTCTATTGTAATGATCCTTGTTTTCGTGTGTCAATGGCCAAATAAATGCATTTTCTTTCTTTCTTATTTTATCAAAATGTCACGTGTGCACCCGTTGGATCATAAGGAACGCGGACGCTCCACGGGTTAATGAAAAATTACCGAATATTTACCAGAGTAAGTAACTATTACTATAGTATTCTCCTGTTTACACATAACATAACATCACGCCTTTTTATCCCCAAAGGGGTAGGCAGAGGTGCACATTATATCACTGTACAATGTAACACCCACTTTTCACTATTTATGTTATGAGTCTCATGTAATAGGGGGTGAGCCTATTGCCATATACCGGGCACAATTCCAGACTCCGTGCTACTACTGAGAATATTTAAAAAACCCAGTAATACTTTGCCCGACCCGGGAATCGAACCCGAGACCCCTTGTCCGGCAGTCGCACTTACGACCACTCGGCCAACGAGGCAGTCTCCTGTTTACATAATTATAAATACGCCTATGTATGCTAAATAACAAAAAAAACGTTTGGAAAACTACAGGAGAATAATACATTTGCTAGTAGAATCATAATGTTCACTGTTGGCATTTGGCAAAAGGCTGACGTGTGACGCTTTCATAGCTATCAGAGGCCTTAGTACGAGTTTGTTTTACGTTTAAAGTAATCGTAACGAGTACGCGTTCGGCGCTGTGATTGGCCGGCTCTAATGAACCAACCAATCAGAGCGCCGGACGCCATCTCGTTTCGATTACTACGAAAAAGAAACTCGTACTAAGCCCTCTGCAGTGTGCACTGCTGCTGTGTGTACTTATAGATACCAATTTAAAAAAGGGACAGGAAAAAAGAATCGGTGATGAAAATCAATACACGGCTAAACTACACTATACATTATAAGGCCAAAATATTCCGCGAGGAAAAATACGGAAACAAGAAGGTAAAAGATGACAACAGTGTTTGAAGGATACGGTATGGCACAGATGTTTAACAGACACGCATTCAAACTTTTCCACTAACTATGGGTATTAAACACTTCTCCAGTATTTTTTTTATGGCATAGTAAACGAGCAGACGAATCACCTGATGCTAAGCAATCGGCGTCGCCCATGGACACCTGGAACACCAGAGGCTTTACAAGTGCGTTCCCGGCTTTTTGGGGATTACGAGTTTGAGGATCGTTGGGGATTCAGGGATTGGGGAGATTGGGGAAGGGGAGGGTAATTGGGCCTCCGGTAACCTCACTCACACGACGAAACACAACGCAAACGTTGCTTCACGTCGGTTTTCTGTGAGGCCGTGGTATCACTCCGGTCGAGCCGGCCCATTCGTGCCGAAGCATGGCTCTCCCACACTTCTATCTAACCAAACTGCGATAAAACCAGAACAATTTATTTGGAATCGCGAACACGGTTCAAGTGATTGCAAGTAATTAATTTACCTGTCCCGTGGCCAAAGATAAGGTGAAACTCGTAAAAAAATGGTTTGATGCACCAATTTTTCTTATTAACAAGGGAAATCTGATTCGTACGGATGGCTTTAAGGTCACTATACAATTATGTTCGTTATTAGAGCTCAACTGATTCCATACTAACATTAGATGCGATGCTCAAAGTTAAGTGCTTCCACAGATACGATGTGCCACAAATAGACGAAATTAAGTTAATGACTGGGGTATCAAAGCAATTAGACATAAACACCAAAAAGCAATCGAGAGTAATTTAATAAACTGTTATAATTATTATGACGCCATATATCAGACAGTTAAACGTTTAAGAAATTAAAATGCTATCAGGCTTTCTACAATATTTAAGTTCACTCTACGAAGAAGTTGCCTCGTTGGCCGAGTGGACGCAAGTGCGACTGCTGGACAAGAGGTCTCGGGTTCGATTCCCGGGTCGGGCAAAGTATTACTGGGTTTTTAAAAATCTCAGTAGTAGCACGGAGTCTGGAAATGTGCCCGGTATATGGCAATAGGCTCACCCCCTATTACATGGGACTTATAACATAAATAGTGAAAAGTGGGTGTTACATTCTACAGTGGCATTTAGTGCCGTAATGTGCACTTCTGCCTACCCCTCCGGGGATAAAAGGCGTGATGTTATGTTGTCTACGAAGAAGTATATTTTCATGTCAAATTGCGTTTGCTTAGAACATTGACAATCGCTGATCTAAAGTGATTGGCTAATTTCCAAGCAATGCTGTCATGTCGCTTGGTATCGTATATGTTACGAAGAACTCTATTGCTTCAAAACACTCTGTGTATACCAAAGATTTAGTTGTATATGCCACACAGACATACATACACGCCTATATTTATTTAACCTCTATAAAAAGTTAACACTACACCGTTATGGGCGGATAGCAAAGTCGTGTTTTGATTTCGTTGACTGAGTGTCACTTTTACTTCAGCAAAATTACATTAGGTGAAATTGGACACACCTATAACACCATTTAGGTTTAGAACGATTTTACGAATATAGGTATTTTAATACACTACGAAAATTTTAAATGATAAATATGCTTATTTTCATTCAGTTTCTATTACCGTATCTGAACAGAAAAGGTGAAACAGGAGGTATTCAGGCAGTTATGTACCAACATACCTACCTTAACTAAAATCGCGGGTTACTCACGTGAATATACTGAGTGAGCTGCGCGATGTCGCCGCGACCGCGCACACTGCTCATGAGTAAGAAACTAAGAACCGTAGCCCGCGATTTTAGTTAATTTAGTATGTCTCATGATAGTTAATATAAAAACATAACATACTTACCTATCCAGAAACTTAACAAATAAAACATCAACTCTTGATAAAAAGCAAGTTCGATCAAGGTTTTTAAATACACTATTATCTATATGACGACAATGCTGTCTATAGGACACATTCCTATTAAATAACATGTCCACACAAAGTCAGACAATTACGCATTAGAATATGTAGATAAAGTTTAGGCATAACACCTGAGGTTACTTATATAAATACACACTGTATATCGATTAACTTATTAGTTAATTAATAATTCTGTTTGCGTATTATGAGACCATTAAATCTAAAACGCCAATATTGATAAAGCTGGTTGCATGATATCGTATAAGTGCGATAAATATAACCGAAATAGGACCGAACATGTTTGATGTTTGGAATCGATAAAACAAACGGTTAGAGCTTTTTTATACTTAATAGGTTGTCGTTTGGCCACCATAAGCGATGATGTGGCCGACGATGGAGCACACCTACTTATGAGCAACCTGTTCTCTCGGGACTTGAAGACACCCAAGTCATATTTTTCTTTTTGGTTAAAAACCAGCTGCCCTTATCCCTGGACTTTTAAATCAATCAGTTAGTAAACTTATTAAATTGTGATGCTGACTTAAATACACGTACTTACTTGGTCTTCCTCAGTCCAAATGGAAAAAGGTAGCTTCGCGACTTCGCGAGTGCTATTTGCTACAGCATATTACAAGGGCGTTTGCGTTGATTAGCCCCATAAGGGTCAATAAGGTAGTTAGGTAAGGTACTGCCCACACTCCAGTTAAGAGTAACCACAGTAAACACCAATAACGAATGTTTACCTCATTATAATTTCTAGCAAAGAGCGTGTTTAACACTTAGAACAGGGGGAAAAAGAAAATGGTCACGCATTAATTTCACGGCAATTAACATTGGAATGTTATTAAATCGGGTCCGGTTTAGAGTGCTCTTACTAATTAATTGTAAATTAAATACGATGCTATGTATATTTTTTAAGAATGCCCGCTAGAGGTATTCCGGAATGCCTTTTTCTGCAATTATAACGGGTCGTGTTTGGGAGGGTCAGCATTTTTTGTTGATTTTATTACAAAGCTTTAATCTTCTTTCCTTATTGTTTTAATGCGAAAATGAATTGGTTTTACTTTAAAATTAAAAATTTTAGTCTACCTAATCTACGAAAGATAACATATTTTTTTTTAAGTGAGGAAAATCATCGAATGACTGCTACCGCCTGGGTGAGGCGGGAGGGAGTGTCAGCCTATTACTGACTAAAAACCACCCCGTTCCTTCTCCTACACGTCGAGCCGGAGCCTCGGTAACCCGTTAGGTTCTCCACGACACGAAAGATAACATTGGGATCTCTAATTTAAAATTTTCATCTAATTTATATTATCTGCACTTATAAGGGTTTTGCCTATACCTGCAAAATGTATTGGCACAAAGCATATCTTTTGAAATCAGACAAAACAGGCGCTAGGCGTGACACTTTTACCAATAGCAATGCTAATGAACTTTAGATATTACCTTCAAGAGAGATTATTATCAACATTTAAATCACACGTCCATTTCTTGCGACATTCCGTCGACATCTGACATTGATATTTGTATCACAGATATTTAGCAACAGACGAACGCAGGTTATACTTTACAATTCTTTATGTCCATTGTGGAAATTGCATACACATGTCTTTGCAATGCTAACTCCATGTTTAATATACGTAAATATAAGCAAATGCATGTTTTAGCATATTTTCTTGACGGGTCATTTGCCCAAGCTGGCCATGACCGCAACACAAGTGTGTCCTTCGGGCATTAAGTGCATTTTTGCAAAAGTAACGTTATATAACTATTAGGTATAACTAACTAAGAAAATGAACTTAGAAATGAGTATTTTTTATGGGATAAGCCGGTAAACGAGCAGATGGATCACCTGATGGCAAGTAATCGGCGCCGCCCATAGACACCTGGAATACCAGAGGCGGCCTTTTAGGAATTGGGAACTTGAGGATTGTGGTGGATTCGGGGATTGGGGAGACTGTTTTCTGTGAGGCCGTAGTATCACTCCGTTCGAGCCGTC